GGGCTTCGTTACCGTGCGGAGGAGGGGGAGGGGAGCGCTGACTCACCCGCCGCGTCACTGCTGGTGGGGGGTGGTTCTCCTTAGCGCAACATGTCACAATATCAGTCAGGAGAGCTGGTAACCTGGCCAAGATTCAAACCAGGTAGTTCACAGTAAAAATATAGAGCACTGATAGGAGAAGATTGAAATATTCTGTTTTCTAATACTAGGCATAACACTGAGATGATAATGATGATGTATCTGTATGTGTAGGCCGTACGGGTCCTGGTGTTTGCTACCGTTTATTCTCTGAGGAAGAATATGCAAAAATGGACCAATACTCAACACCTGAGATCCAGCGAGTGCCTCTTGATTCTCTCCTACTTCAAATGGTTGCTATGGGGCTTCCAGATGCTCGAAAGTTCCCCTTCATTGAACCACCACCTCCTGAAAGTATTGAAAATTCCATTTTGTCTTTAAAGGAACAGGTGTGCCTAAATTTAATTTTTGTTTCAAATTCTTAATGCAACATTTTAGATCTAGCTTAAAATATTTTAGATTAACTATTCATAAGGTGTTAATTTTATAGAATTAATTTCTGTACACAGGGTGCTCTGACTGAGAATGAAAAACTAACAACAATAGGCCACATGCTGTCTCGCTTGCCAGTGGATATCTCCCTGGGAAAGATGCTTATCATGGGATCTCTTTTCCATCAGGTGGAACCAGTATTATCCATGGCTTCAGCCCTTAGTGTACAGACTCCTTTTACAAACAGGTCCTATAGAAATTTTGATTGTGAGGTAAGTAACTGCTGAAGTTTTTGGAGTCTGTGAATTAACTATTTCAATCTTGTGTAAGACAAGAGGAAAAAGGTGCATTACAGTTTGGAATATACATATATTACAGATTTTTTTTGTGATTTCACACATCATGTTGGCCGTGACATTGGTTTTTTATTATTGTGAATCTCAGTAGTCTAGTCCATAGCCAGTCCCTATAACGACTAAGCTATCCCGGCTCCCTGAAGCTTACAGAAGGGAAAGAAAAATGTGTCTATGTAACAGAAAAATAAATAATGAAGAAGTGTAGTTGCTTTTGTTGCATAGCACCAGGAATCTGTTAGAACAGTAATGTAGGTACTGTACCTCACTCTACACTGAATACCAGAAACAGAAGGGGCGGGGGATATTATGTAAGTGAGTACAGTGGGATTTTTTTACAGTGATTTATGTAGAAGTAATAAAATTGTAAAAAAGGTCACCATTATTTATTTCAGTTAATGGGTCTTTAAAAAAATCCTGTCTCTACACTGATTGTATCAAAACAGATATGGCAGTAGATTGCAGTATTTCTTGTGTGCTTAAAATTTTTTTTTAAAAATCTGCATAGTGGGGGGTGGAGTCCAACTGGGTCCACTCGGCACTGCGGCCACTGATTGGCCTATTGTAGCCTGCCCGGTGTGATTATGATGATGGAGAATTTGGTGGAATGAAGATTGGCAGGGGAAACCGAAGTATTCTGAGAAAACCTGCCCCAACCCCACTTTGTCCACCACAAATCCCACTTGACAAGACCCGGGATTGAACCTGGACCTCCGCGGTGGGAAGCCAGCGACTAACGGCTTGAGCTATGGCGCAGCCACTTCTTGTGTGCTTTCTTATTCTTCATCAACATAGCCTGTAACTGTTGTATTTGGGAGACAGTCAATAAATAAACTAAGAATCATTAATCAGCCACATTTATTGCTGATGACCTACAGATGTATATATTCTTGATATTTCAAAATTCCTCTTGTTATTAATGATTTTATTTGCTTCTAGGCAGCTTGTAAAGAATTGCAGTCTGATCATGGTGACCCATTAACGCTGCTAAATGCCTTTCGTGAATGGTTAGAAGAAAAATCTAAATCATCAAGTGGGAGATCATCATCTCGACAGTGGTGTCATCGTAGAGGTCTTGAGGAGCACCGCTTCTATGAAATGATTAAACTGCGGAGACAGTTCAAAGATCTGTTGCAGGTATGAACCATTAGCTCTTGGTTGTACCATTTTATCATCATTTTATGATTTCTGAGGTTAGAATTTGGGAACTGACACCTGCTTCTTTGGATTCAGTTTTCATAAGTTTGGAAGTTAAGGAAATGTTCCAGGAACAAGATCAAGTTTCTATTATCCTTTGTTTATAGTGTTTGTGTTGAGTTACTCTAGATGCTAAACTGTTTATTGTAAATCTTGTGATCAGTATTGCCTGGTCCTCTTCTGTTGAAAACTAATTCCTTACTACTTACTTTCCCAGGACCTTTTCGTTCATTTAGTTAGGATGTTAGGCTTGACATCTGACAATTTTATTTGTACTGTCACTTTATCTTTCTCACAGAGAGTACAGTTGGGAGATGGACTGACTCTTTAGTTCTTGTGTAATAATGATGCTATTTCAACTGCAGAGGTTGAGATAAAATGTTAATGAATGGTGAGTAGCTAAGTATTTTCAAGCCGGTCACGGTACCTGAGCGGTCTAAGGCGTGCACTGTCTTCGCTCGCTCGGAAGCCGGGATCATGGGTTCGAATCCCACTCAGGGCATGGATGTTTGTGTACAGGTAGAGGCCTTGCGACGAGCTGATCACCCGCCCAAGGAGTCCTACCGTATGTCTAAGATCTAGAAAAACCGAAGTGAACGGAGAAGTTCATGGAGGTAGGCCTAGGCCCACTGGGGCTATAGTGCCAAGGAAAAAAAAAAGTATTTTCAAGGACATTTCTAGTATATTTCAATGTGCTATTGAAACATTTGCCTTGTAAGGCTAAGGAAAGCTAAGGAAAGCCACTAAAGTTCACAACTGCTAACCCAAGTGAGACTCAAATCAGCTACCACTGGAATACAAGTGTTACTGCTGGTATACCAACCTGGCTGTCTAGTTATCACTCTTCGACAGGTTTCTGTTTAACTTCCACTCTACATACGTATTTAAAAATAAACTACTGCAAGAATTATTGCTTTATGAAGCAATTATCATCCCAACATCAGTAACAACTTATGCTCTTGAGACCCAGTCATTGTCCACTCATTCCTTGACAGCAGTGCCACGGGTCATAGCAGTGAACTCATTTTTTTCGAGTTCTATGACACTAAAGTATCCCTTTATACATCTTACAGATTGATAATATATGGTGTCCGAGGTCTGACAGTAAAGTTTGTGAACTCACCACCATATGCTTGCCATGGCAGCAGTGGACAGAAACCTCAGTGTGGTTAGATGATGTTGGCATATCAGTGTTGTTGTTTATCTATGGCAGTCTCTTTCTGAGTGTGTTTTGGTGTGCCGTTGTGAGAATGTTGGAATGATCATTAAATTTCTTGTTAAAATTGGCAAGAGTGGAAGCAAAATCAGAGAGTTATTAGTGCAAGTTTACGGGGATAATTCTATGAAGAAAACAGCAGTTTACAGATGAGTGACAAGTTTTTCTTAGGGAAGAGAACAGTAATAGATCATAACCAGATGTGGGAACTGCCCACATTCAAGCAAGTATGACAACGCAAGCGTCATTGCTTAGCAACGACGAGTAAACAGCAGTTGAAGCAGCTGCCGTTGCCGATCCTGAAGATTGAGGGGATATGTTTCTCTGAAATGTTGGTCTTTTCCAGAACTACAGTGTGTTACAACTCAAATGAACACAATCTGCATAGTCAACACTCTGATTTAACTTCACCTGTAATCCTTTTCTCCGGTTTAATGTTTGCATTTTTGTGTAGCTCACCTAATAACCAAGCCGCTCAATGTATTTCTGTTTTTGTGCAGCTGCTATTGCCGACCCTGAAGATGGAGGGGATATGTTTGTCTGAAATGTTGGTCTTTTCCAGAACTACAGTGTGTTACAACTCAAATGAACACAATCTGCATAGTCAACACTCTGATTTAACTTTACCTGTAATCCTTTTCTTCGGTTTAATGTTTGCATTTTTGTGTAGCTCACCTAATAACCAAGCCGCTCAATTTATTTCTGTTTTTGTGCAGCTTCACCGCCTTAAATTTCCTCCCATGCTCTCCCTTCCTTCTGCACGGCATCTTTTCTAACCTGTTCTCATCTTTTCACCCTCCTGTAGTCTGACCCTATGTTATAGGAGGGGGACAGTTGAAGTAAGGGAAGTAGGGGAAAGCAGTGACATGGTCCTGGGCCCCTTCAAGGTAACTGAGATGATCTGGCAGGTACCCTGAAAATGAATGGCTGACAGTGTTATGGTGAACCTATTTCATGTCTAGCAAGCTGACAGTGAATTTTGAAACTGGTTTCAGCAAAATTTATTTGTAATGTTGCAGAAAACACACATTTTATCCACTATAATAATGTGTTTTTCAGGACTCAGGGCTCCTACAAAGTGAAGCTTTGCCAAATGAGAACATGACAAGTGCTGAGCGCTCGTTTCGTCATGGAGAAGTGAAACTGTTGCGTTCAATGCGTCAGTCATACAAAGAGGCTAGGCCTCGAAAGAAACGAGTTCTGAAGCTAGATGCGTGGGAAGTAGAAGGTGCAGAAGTTGAAGAACCTGGTGATATTGATATCAAGGATGTCGAGTTTAGGCTGAGCAATAATAGCCTCCAAGTGCAGGCAAGTGACCGAATGGTAGATCATTGAAGGACCAACCATGGCCCAAACGCTGCATGCAATCCGTGACACACAGTGCATCTTGCGACCTGCTGCCTACATATCAATCAGTGTAAATATGATAGGTTCTGTGTGATTACAATTTTGACCCAGGGAATGTACACTAACTTCCCTTTTACTTTACAAATTATATGCTGTTATAATGGATAATACACATTTTAGCTTGTACTCCTTAATATTTTTAAAGTGCTTGATTCCTAATGCCGTCTGACGTTCAGACTGAGTGTTCTAGGATTTTCAGAGTTGAATGTCAAAACATTTTACTTGACTTTCAGTATTTTATTAAAACTTATATTTTAATTGGCAGAAGTGTTGAATTTTAAATGATTATGAATTCCCATTAGTTATCTCTTTTTTTTACTTATAATGTGTCTAATTTCTGTTTTCTTACATGAACTGACTGACTGTGGTTAATGCAGAATCTCCTCTCAGGATCTACTGCTTGCAGTTACAAGGACCTTATGATGCTAAAACTTATCCTTTGTAGTGGACTGTATCCCCAACTGGCCATTGCTGATGAGTTCAATTACTGCAAGGTAAGTTATATATTATGGGATTGATTCCTAGGTAATTTAATGACTGTTTCATTCTCTATTGCATTCACATTTCAAGGCCAGTTGAGTGTTGGCTGAAGATGACGAAAGTTCAGGGCAACCAGGCACCAGCAAAATGACAGAAAATGTTGAAAAAACTTGAGAACTCATCCATGAAGACTGTCACCAAACAGTCCATGAGTTCACAGACACTGTTGGGATAAGTTATGGAGTTTGCCAGGAGATCCTAACAGAAAATTTGAACATGCACTGCATCGCAGCAAAGTTTGTTCCCTGACTCTTGATAAATGATTAAAAGCAGCAGTTCATAAATGTGTCTTGTGCTACAAGAGAATGCTAATAAGGACTAAACTTTTATCTCTTGGATTGTAACAGGTGACAAGAGTTGGATTTATGATTATGATTGAAAAACAAAGCACTAATCATTGCAATGGAAGAGCCCACAATCACCAGGAGCATAAAATGTTCAGCAGGTTCGGAGTTCAACAAAGAGCATGCTCATTGTTTTTTTCGATGTGAAGGGGATTGTTCACCATGAATTTGTTCCTCATAACACTACGGTCAATTCTGACTTACTATGATGTTTTGAGACGCTTGAGAAGAAACGTGTCACAAAAACGAACTTTGGCAGAACCACAGCTGGCTGTTTCATCTTGAAACGTGCCCACTCACATGTCCCTGAAAACCACAGAATTTATGACCAACAACAACATGGTTAGACTTAGCCCTTTGAGATTTCACTTTGTTTCCCACTTTGTAAATGTAACTGAAGGGACGACATTTTGAAACAGTGTGTGACATCCAAAGGGAATCGCAAGCGCTACTCAACAGCATCAAGGAAAAAGACTTCCACAGTGCTTTTGGAGTATGGATAAAAACGATGGTATTGGTGTATACATTCCCAAGGAGACTGTTATGAAGAAGATGGCAGCCAAAATTGAGTAAGTTAAGCCAGCGTTTCCTTTTTGACCTAGTGTGGGAACTTTCTGATGACTTCAATTGAGCAGAAAGCCATGACATTGCGGGAGGAACTTAATATAATACAGAAAGTGGGAAGCAAATCCTAATATTCATTCATGTGTTTATGTTATCTTTATACAGTTTTTAGGTGGTCCATTATGATTTGTGTTTTATTAATTTGCTTTAGCACTACATTAAGAAGTAGCTCTGGTGTTGCCACTGTATTTCCAGGTCGCTCTGATAACACACATTTGTGTATTTTGTAATTGAACAGGAAACAATTGCTTGGGATAAAAAAAGTTAATCTAATTTTCCATTCCTCTAATAAGAAGTTTCTTCCTTTAAGACATTTTATTTGACAGGCCTCCTGAAAATCTCGTCTGGGAAACACTGCATTTGATGTTCTTACTTGATTGTTTAAACTTTACTAGGGCACTCAGAATTTTTCCTTTCACAGCCATGTTCAGAATGGTTCTATGGTACATCCTGTAGAGATGGGTAGTAAAAGTGGTCAGGTTGTGGATGGCACCAAATATTTTAACTATTAAATCTTTTTGAAAAAATACTAATAAAGAAAATTTCACAAAGTACTGCAGACTGTATATCCTAAATATTACAAGATTTTTTTAAGCACTTTATCATCTACTTTTATTTTATCTTCAGTCTGTTTCAGAGCAATTGTTCCATACTGTGTCAAAGCCATATGTATCTCTGCATCCAATGGGATATTTTGGAAATCACCCACAAATTCTTCAGCTTCAGGAATCAGATATTGAAGTGATACAGAAGAGGAGGTTTAATTCGAAGTCACCAGTTAGTTCCAAACATCAGCTGCTATGCTATTTGTGAGTATAGTGTTATAAAACTGTATGATTCTTGAAAGTCTTGTGGTGGGGAATATTAAGTTATGGTCCTTTGGAATGTGACAGCACATTGTGTCATAAGTGATGGCATATGGTCCCATAAATCAAGAGAAGGTGAATGGAAGCAGTAATATGGTGGGAAGTACCTCTCACCTTTACCAAAAAATTTGCACTAGACAAAGCCACGCAGCAGACTGACTTACTTCACTTCCCTGTGCATTGTTTGATCAAATGTATTCATCTATGTTTGTGACTCCACCCAAAAGAAATGAATGTTGTTTCTGAGTGCATGCCATTACTCGTGGTGTGAGCTGCCAGTGTTGTGGAGGAACCTACATCCTCTATCTTCAGTGTAGAAGTAGTTCTTAATTATAAAGTTGTATTTCATATCCATCCCAAAGAAGAGCTGTAATTCATTAAATTTAATGAAACCAAATATATGTTTATAATTTCATAAGAGAAAATATGACACTCTGGAAATATACTTTTCTCTTTAACATCATATGTAGACAGTAAGGCAAATATAGAATGACACTTGCTGTCTTTGAGGAAGATTTTAACCTATTTTATATTTTTATTATGTTGGATAAATTTGTGCAAATGAGAAACAAAAAAAGAAATTGTGTCCACACTATTAATAGTGAAAATTGAAGGAAGTAAGAACTGTGCAGAATTGAATAACACATTCTGCTTAGCTGATTAACAANCTGTATCCAAAGGTACTAACCTACTTAGGATTTATAGAATGTAAATCAATTCAATTCAATTCAAAAGAAAGGAGGGCAGTAAATATCATTGAGGATCATGGGGATTTCATCATTATTAGAGATGGAATGTATACCCAAGATTCTCTTACTGTTGTCATTAATTGCAGTTCTCTTCAGTCTCATATTATTTCAACCCTCTTAGGTCAAAATATTCTCTTCAGTATCCTGTTCACAAACTCCCTCAATCTATGTTCTTCTCTTAATATGAGAGACCAAGTTTCACTCCCCTATAAAACTACAGGCAAAATTATGTTATTGTATATTTGGTTTTTACAGTATTAAATAAGAGACATAACAAAAGGGTGTGAACTCCATCGTGTCAGTCTTTTGTCTTTTTATATGCTGTCCAAAAATGTGAACACTGAGATATGCAGTACTGTAATTTTTCCTCCAGTTTCTTATAGGTGTGAAATGTGGCCTGTCATATTGAGGAAAGAACATAGACTGAGGGTGTTTGAACAGAATAGTACTGTGAATGTTTGGACCTAAGAGGATGAAATGGGGCATGTGGTAGCGTAGTTGGTTGAGGCATTATGCTACCAGACAGAAAGTCATGGATTTGATTCCAGATGAGGTCATTGGATTTTTCAATTGACCTAGTCCTTCCAGCTGCACTGTCGCCCTGGGGTTGACTCAGCCTCTAACAGAAATGAGTACCAGGAATCTTCCTGGGGGTAAAGGGCAGCCGGCACATAAGGCTGACAACCTCACGGCCATCTGTTTAGAAAATATAGGAGTCTCAATGTTTCACAGCCTGTTACGAGGATAGCTTTTACAGGATGAAATGAAAGGAGACTGGAGAAAACTGCATAATGAGGAACTTCATAACTTGCATTCTCTGCCATATACAGGGTTATTAAAAAAGAATGAACCGATTTCATGACGTATTGCTTCAGTTCTCAAGCATCGTCATGGAATAAGTCAGTAACCATTTGAAAGAGGAGTTATCTAAGTTGTAAATGACTGCCACAGGGGTGCTGAAGTCACGTCGTTCTTCCAGTAACTTTCAGTTGTTCGTTTACCCTCGTAATGGTGAGTCCTCAGAAAAAGGCATTCTGCATTCTCGAGTTCGCGAAAAAAATTCGTTTGTCACGGTGCAGCGTGCTTTTTGAAGGCGATTCGGCATTAATCCACCATGTTCTAAGAACATTCAACGGTGGTTTTGACAGTTTCAAGAGAGTGGGTGCCTGTGTAAAGGAAAAAGTCCAGGACGACCATGAGTCTCAGAGGAATAAGTGGTGAGAATCCATGCTGTGTTTGAGAGGAGCCCGCAGAAGTCAACAAATCGAGCTAGCTGTGAGCTTGTGATCCCTCAATCCACTTTCTGGCATGTGCTAACAGTATGTCTATATTTGAAACCATACAGACTGCAGCTCGTTCAGGCACTTACCAATGACGACAAAAGGAAGCGGATGGAATTTTGCGATTCGATGCTGGAGATGATGGAAGACAAAACCTTCATTTCATGTTTAATTTTTAGTGATGAAGTGACTTTTCACTTGAGCGGCACAGTCAGTTGTCACAATGTACGTATTTGGGGAACAGAGCACCCACATGAAACAGTTGAGCATGAAAGAGATTCCTCTAAGGTGAACGTCTTCTGTGCTATGTCTCAGGACAAGGTTTATGGTCCCTTTTTCTTTGAAGGAAACACTGTTACAGGACAAACCTATCTCGAAATGCTCCAAAACTGGCTCTTCACTTCACTGCAAGCAGATTCGCATGACTTAATTTTTCAACAAGATGGAGCACTGCCCCATTGGCACCTGATGGTCCGAGCTTTTTTAAATGAAAAAGTGCCCCAGCGATGGATTGGTCGGAAGGGGGCCAAAGACCTTGCTCTTTGCGCTTGGCCTGCGAGATCCCCAGACCTCACTGTGTCTGATTTCTTCATGTGGGGATATGTAAAAGATCACGTTTATGTTCCACCACTACCCACTAACCTCGATGACCTTAAACATCGAATAACAACAGCGATTAACTCAGTGCATCGTGATATGCTGATACGCGCCTGGGAGTAATTCTCTTATTGCATTGATGTTGCCCGTGCTGCAGGTGGTGGCCACATTGAACATTTGTAAGACAGGAAATAAAAGTTGATTGTGAGTAGAATACTTTTGACTTGGCTGGAGTTTTGTATTACTTTCCTTTAATAAAATATTGCATAATAAAATCGGTTCATTATTTTGAATAACCCTGTATTAGAATGATTAAGTTAAGGAGTATGATGTGGGCAGGGCATATAGCATGAATGGAAGAAATGTGCATACAAAATTTTGATAGAGGGTCCTGAATGAAAGAGACCACTAGGAAGACCTAAACTTAGGTGGAAGGATAAAATTAAAAGGTATCTTAAAGAAATGGGATGAGACCATGTGGGCTAAATTCAGCTGGCTCAGGATAGGGACCGGTGGCAGGCTTTTGCGAACACAGTCATTAACTCCTGGGTTCAACAGTATGCTGGGAATTTATTGAATTTCTGAAGAGCTATTTGTTTCTGAAGAACTCGGTTCCATCGACTTAGTTAGTTTCAGTTCTGTCTTCTTTATTTGATATGGTTCATCCCAGCAGTTCGGATGTGTTGAGTTGCTCAGTAATATTATTTCAAATCTTGCAACATATATTTCCTCCAAAGGCCAGTACATTTCCTAGCTTATGAAATTTTTATATTAAATCTGTATAGTAATTAAAAAGACAATGTGTTCTCTTATGCAGGTCACTGCTGGAGACGACAAAACCCTTCCTGGTGACTACAATGCGAATGCCAGCTGCTCAGACTTTGCTTCTCTTCTCTCAGTCTATAGACACTAACTGTGATTTCTCCAAGTAAGTCATGTTAATTATTGGGGGACATATTGTTGCTGTTGAATTTATAAACCATGATGTGTAAAACTGAGCAATATTATCAGGCTGTGTTGATTTTTAGTGACTAAAAGGAAGAGACTCTTGGAGCATTAATGTACACATATTGTTCTGTTTACCGTTTCCTGACCAAAACAATATAAGTTACATTTTACAGAGCAGAATATTTTTTTTAATCTAACTTTCCTTATTAAGAGATCTTTGAAAATATTCCAGTTTTATTAAAATAATTCTTTTCGTCTACCTTGATAGATTAGGCTGTCTGATCTGTTCCAATTCAGAATTAGTTATAAAGTTATGAATCTTATAGACATTTGGTAAGACTCCTTGGGTGGGTGATCGGCTTGTCACAAGGCCACTACCTACACAGGACAAGACAAACTCAGAATAGATGCAGACAGACATCCATGCCTTGAGTGGAATTTGAATCTATGATCCCTGTGTTTAACCGACAAAGACATTTTCCGCCTTAGACTGCCCAGCCACTGTAACTGGCTGAACAATTCTTTTGTAAAAAAATAGCTGTGCTTATGAAATGTTATAAAGTGATAAACAAATTTTGTATAAATATTTTTTGTGTATATTCTAAGAATCATGAATACAGAAATGGCACCAAACTTTGATCGTAATCTGACAACTTTAATATTGTATGATAATTAAATTATAATTGCTAATATCTTCTGTATATAAATATAAGCATTTTAAGGACAGTAGACCCTTTCATAACTTATTGTTTTTTTACATAACATGCTACAGCTGTGTTCTGAAATCATTTCTATAAATATGAAAGACTTCTGCATCAAGGAATTCAAAAGTTCTCCCTGCCTCTATANTGCACTTGCATTCCCCCCCCCCACATACACACACACACACATGTGCGCACATGCATGGTGATATCATAAGCCTGTTTTTGTCTTTATAAGGAAAGTAACTTAATAAGGCATAAACTGTTGTGTTCACAGGTTAGTATGTGACTCCTGGCTGCAACTGGAATTCTTGTTACCTGATGCTGCTATGTTGCTGCTACTAAAAGCTGCTCTATTGCGCAACAAATGGGAACAGCTGCTTAATCTGCGTCTTGAAGGCAATGATTTAATTCTGATAATCACACATTTAAAATTCAAATATATTTCCACATCAGTATTTTCCCTTAAAAAAACTCACAAACTCCATGGAACAAAGTCCTTCCTAGGAAGCCAACAGTTGCTCAACCACCCTAGGAATTCCAAGCATTTTATGGAACCTGAAGGGTTAATACTGTGATCACAAGAGACTATCTCTGGTCCCTGTCCTGAGCCAGAAGAATCCAGTCCACACCCTCACATCTTATTTCTTGAAAATAAAATAAATTCTTAATCTGTAATTTCTGCTTTCACTCATATAACGTTTATAAGGATGTAAAATACCTATTAATTTAAATTTTGTTGATTTCCTTGATTCCTGTAAAGTTGAAGAGTGCACAAATGATTAAAAAAATAATGCAAACTACTTTTCAAACAATAACTGTGAATACAGATTTTACTGCTCAGAGGGAATAATTGTCTGAATTTTTTAAAAAATCATACAAATTCTTACATTTTTGAATGGGGCTGAAACAAACTTGTAATTAAATAGTATTTTGAATTATCTAATTAGATATTAACGCTTTACTGTGCTGGAATGCTCACATTGCCCAATTTTTCAGCCACTTCACCCAGTGTTAACAATAAAGAGAAGTTGTCAGCAGCAGCCAAGAAGTTGGAACAAGAACTTTCAAGTGATCTGCCACAGTTCATGCATACTGAGATTGTCTACACATTGCGAAGACTGCTGCCTGCTGACCTTAAAGTTATGTACGTTGGTCCTGGGGAAAATGAAGACCTCATTACCCCTAATCCATTCTCTTCAGATTGGGAATGTACACCACATCCAAAGAAAGGGGGAGTTCGGGTTACTCCATATATCACATTCAACTGGTAAGTACTGCACTTAGTGTGTCAGGACCAATTTCCCAGTTTGTAGCATTCCAAAGGAACTCTGTTCCTGCCAGTAATCAGCTTGTGTTCATCTATCACTCCATCTCATGTTGTAGTTACATATATGATATTCAGTTAAACCTCATTAATTATCAGTTTGTTCAAAATACCATTCAGACCAAAGTCAGTATCTGCTTAATTTTGATTAAGTACAAACTGAAATATTTGCAACAAATACTGCTTTACCCACTTTTACTCATAAAAACAGTGATTATTACCAGCCCATTGCAGTGTTATGTTATTATCTTCTATTAACATAACCAGCTGATAATGTCTGTGATGAAAACTGGCTAATTAAAATGATTGAATTTCAAATGTGTATTTTTCAGCCCTGAACACTTTGAATGAAGGGAACTTTATTCTAATAGATGCTAAACAAATAACTTTTTCATGAAACTTGATATGAACAGCATCAGATCTACACTGGACCTGAATGAGATATTCATTTCTATTAAAACCATTACCTGGAACAAAATTTTATCACCAATTTCAATAATTGGCTTAATTTTATATATATATAGTTGTAAATATTAATAAAGATGGCTTTAATTAAATAAACCAATAGACATCAAAGTTATGAACAAGAAATATCTTTAAGGATCTGCATTAACACCTTGTAAAAATGGAAGGTAATCCTAAACAACACAGAGAAGTGACCCATCCAAGAAGAAAATAGGAAGATTCTTTTTAAAACAACAGGCCATGGGCTGATGCTGGTGGTCTTTAAGCCTTTTGGGGACTGCCCCATTTTGATACTTTTTTGACTCCCTATAATTGTCAGTGCAACAGTGGTTACCATGTTAATTCTAAGGTGGGAACAGCACTAGTGCCAGTGTGGACACTTTGTTTGTTTATAGGTTCTTGAAAAATACTGAACTTTTATTAGGATATTTACAGGTAAACTGAAGGTAGTGCTGTGATAAATGTGTGAAGTATTATAGTTTTATGATGACTGATGAATCATTTGTAATGTTAAATCCTTCCAGCCGCACTATGGCCCTGGGGTCGACTCAGTCTCTAACAGAAATGAGTACCAGGAATTAATTAAATAATTTTCCTTGGGAGTAAAGCGCGGACAGCGTGTAGGGCTGACACTCTTACCGCTTTCTTTGAGCCGATTTTCTAGATAATGTGGGACCCTCAACGTCTCACAACCCTATGGGCCTTCACGGCCTGTGACAGGGATAGCTTTACTTTTTTACTTTACATATGAAATATATATTCTTACATGTTATAAACACATTTAAAAATTTTTCATATTAGTTGTTCCATGAAGTTAAGTTAGTTGGACACTCATTACACTGTGGTGAATGGAAAATGGCATGGGTTTTAATGTAGATTTGCCATTAGACTCTTTTATTTTCTGAACAGGTCATCATAGTAAAGAAAATTTCAATAAAAAATTTTAGTCTCAAGCAGTGACTTATAAAAAATGTAATATTTTTATAAATCTTTAAGGTTTCATTCTGAACCTCACAGGGATATCCAGACCATAACAGGTCAATACAGTTAAGTTGGAGGTTTGTTTGTAGTGACTAAACATCCACTTGTGATGTGCTGGTACAAAACTTCTTATTTTTGCTGTCTTCAGTGTCAATGTATTTCGTTCCCATCTGGATGGCTATGATGATGGTTCTGAGAATGAGTGGAATTGTCCACATTGTGGCCTAGACATGAACCTTGACTCGATACAGAAGCTCCAACACATGGAGACATGCAAGCCATCTCAAAATGAGCAAGGTAATTACTGGAAAATGGAATTGGTAAACATAAACACTTCATTCATGTACAAGATAAGTGAGTAATATTTAACATATTCTAACCATAAGATTTTAAAGGATGTTAATATTCTAATATTCTTATTGTATATAAAAAGTAGAATATACAAAACTATAATTTTGCCTGTGGTTCTGTATGGGTGTGAAAGTTGGTCTCTAACATTAAGGGAGGAACTTAGACTGAGGGTGTTTGAGAACAGGGTGTTGAGGAGAATATTTGGACCGAAGAGAGATGAAATGACAGGAGGTTGGAGAAAACTGCATAATGTGCAGCTTCATAACTTGTACTCTTCTCCAAGTATAATTAGAATGATCAAGTCATGGAGGATGAGGTGGGCAGGTCATGTAGCACGAATGGGAGAGATGAGGATGCGTATAGGATATTGGTGGGAAAGCCAGAAGGAAAGAGACCACAGGGAAGACCAAGGCGTAGGTGGGTGGACAATATTAGAATGGATCTTAGAGAGGTAGGATGGGATGGTATGGATTGGAAAGATGTGGCTCAGGATAGGGACCAATGGAGGGCTCTTGTGAACATGGTAATGAACCTTCAGGTTCTATAAAATGATGGGACATTCTTGAGTAGCTGCAGAATTGGCGGCTCCTCGAGAAGGGCTCAGCTCCATGAGTAAGTAAGTAATATTCTTATTGTTTCATATGATAAAGGCCTCTTCTGAGGTTTACTAAGATTACAAAGAGTAAAATATTAAGAAATCAAGGATCTTGCTTCTCTACCTGAATTCCAGTTCAATTGTTCAGGCTTAAAAGAGACTGCAAAAGAATTTACAGTATTAAGAGATGTCTCTTCAGGAATATAGCACTCTCATATTCAAAAAATAAATTGCAAAACCAGCAGTGTAGAAGCCACACATCCTCCTAGATTACCCATAAGCATTTGCATGCCTGACAATAATGTATTTGTGCACGAGTCTGCTCAGTGCAATTCTTTCTGTTCAATAAAGAGAACCATTCATCTGACCATGCTGAAAGGTCATTTACATGTGTCTTTTGTAAAGCAAAGTTGTTAATTAGTGTCTGTGTATTCATGAAAATGGTAGTCACTTGAAACCTTTTGTTTTTGAGACCTAGGCTTATGAAGTTGTTTTGTATTATCTATAAAATAATTCTCTCTATATGACAGATATAATTTATCAGGTATTTCTTGACTACTGTGTATTTGTGATAAGGACTAAGAATACATTCTTCAAGCAGTGCCCGAAGAAGAGGTGCTGCTTGATAAGTGTGGGAACTCCTGTGGTAATTTGTGTTCTGAACCTGTTGTTTGGTATGTTGGTGAAATATCTCTTGCCTTCAGAGAAGATGTAGAAAGTTATGAGAATTTTTGAATCTAACAAAGGTTATGAAACAGGAGGTGAAGAAAATTTAATTACAGGGACTTCACAATTCTTCCTCTCCAATTACTACTATTACAGCAGTTTAATCAAGGAAGTCAAGCTGGATGGGACATTTAATAAGTATGGGAGAAATAAGTTCATACATGATTTTGACTGGAATAGTTTATTTGGAATACAACAAAAATCAAAGGATAATATGAAAATGAATGGAGAAAAAGACTGTGAGCACATGGAATGGATTTAATTGGCCCAGGATCAGGTAAAATTGCAGGATTCTGTAGTGACATTGATATGATTTCAGGTTTCATTAAACGCAGAATTTTGTGGACAGCTGATATACTCGTACTATCAGCTCATCAGATCAAGTGATAAGCTATGTTCCGAAACAAAATATGTGAAACAGGCATGCATATTAAGCAAGAGTTGAAATGAACATGAGACTGTTCAAAATTGTTTTGTGTTTTAGACTTTTACCTGTACCTTTTCATGTATAGGAGCAGATGAAGAGGAAACAGTTACAAGGAAGCCCAATTCCCTGGCTTATCAATGTGCACAGTGCGACAGAACTTTGTATCTCACACCAACAGAAATCTTGCGACACAAGAAGCAACATCAATAACAACAAGAAAGTTTCTTCCTCCAAGTTCTTGCAGTATTTGTCAGGTAAGCTAATATTTGTAGTTATTTATCCTGACATAATTAGGGGATGTATAATGAGTGCAGCTATATAGTATTTACTGCACTAGATCTTTAAGGAGACAGTGCACTGAGTCATATTCTAGTTATAAGAATGTATGGAAACCTTTTACCTTCATGTTACATTTTTAAGTATGAAGATCTGATTATGTTTAACAGTTCATGGCAGATGAGACCTTCATTGAATGAACAGATTTTATTTAATTGTGATTAGGGAATATAAAGCCTTTCTTAGGCTCCACTGATGGGTTGTCATGCACTGGTAAATTAATGTGGTATTATTGTTGTGATTTGTTTCATTCTGGTTCATCACACTAACAATATTACAAAAGGTTAATTAAGTCCATTCAGTTACACTGAACATAATTAATTAACCTTTTGTAATATTATTGTTGTATTTATATGTTACATTTGCTTGTACCAAGTGTAGAGGCATACACAAAATGAGGATGATGTCCTTTATTAAATGTCTTCCCCAGAAGAAAGGGCAGTAAATCTTAGGTCTATGTTTGGCAAAAGTGGAGGATGTATATAACATTAAAATGCTTCCAATATGTGCACTCTTTTCAGGGCCATTGGTGTTCCCACTGTTTCAGTCAGAGTTCTTCATCCCACCTCCTTTTCCAATATCACACACCATTTTGCCTCCTTGGCTTACTCTTCTACCATGAATATGGAGGCAGCAGATTCATCTGAAATGTTGGTACCTATCTACTGTCAGAAGACTGCAAGGTTATTGGGTTTACTGAGGAGACTGATAATTTGGGAGCATGAAGGAAATGTTACGATTTCTGAGGTGTGGGTGCAGCACTGGATGAGTGAAAGACAGTTTATTGAAGCGGAACAATAAGTTAAGCTTGTGAAGGAGTTTATGCCTAAGAATTTTATTAAGTAAAGGGCTGTTTATCTTCAAAGTCTGCCACTGGAAAAGAGGTTCGTCTATCAATTGGGTAAATGTTGTATGTAAAATGAAATGTATATACATGGGTACATGTGATAACCAGTCATTTAAAATAGCCACTCCTAGTTTTATTTTTCATTAAAAATAATTATTACAATCTTGTTTTTGTATTGTGAGGTTAGACCATCATGAGCAATCTATATTAAATGTACATGTTTCAAGTAATAGAAACTGTAGTAATATAAACTTTTTAATTACTGCCAATCTTGAATATACTCTGTACTAAGTACATTCACCTAGTACAATACAATATTCAGCTCATGAAAGATATAATACACTGTAAATCTGGTTTTGTTTGGTCTCTTCTTTGAATGGTTCCTATTGTCCTCTGAATGGTACTATGTCATGGGGATATTGAAAAGTTTATATTACTCAAGATATTCTTGTGAAGTATGCAAGTTCATCAAGTTGCACTGTATAGTTCCTTAGCCAACATTTTCCATTATGTATAATTCCAGGTCGTAATTCATCTCTCCACTTTCCTATGGGGAGGTAAATATCTCGGGCAACTGCTCCTTCATTCAAGATGGGAGCAACAAGCAAATCATCTCCTAGAAGAAACTCTGGAAAAGCAAATAAAAAGATCCATTATAAAGAACTGTATCTTATCTTCCTTCAAAGTCTCATATAAAATGTTCATTTCTTCACATGATTTTAATCATATTATTTGCTACCGCCACTCTTGACAAGTTTTTCCTTTGTGATGTACCATGTGGGTAACCAGTTCTTCACATGTATTAAAAGGTATAGTGACATTCCTACAGAATATTTCTTTAGTAAAAATCTCTATATAAGACCTTGGATCATTTTTAAATGTCTTAACTTGCACAAACAAAACCCAAAGCTAGCTGCCTGAATTTTGCTGTGTTACGAGGTTACACTATAGTCGTCTTAAAGATACCATACTAAATTTGAATTGTTTTTATCTCTCTAATGTTGAGCTGAAACAATGTAGTGTACAGTCTTTAATGCCAATATTACTAAGGCCCTATAAATCACATGAAGGGCAGGAATTGAGACATTCACAGCAGTGGTTATGTAAAGTCTTGAAGTGATGTATTGTCTAAAATATGGCTGGGCTGGCTGGTCACAATGAGCAAATCTAAAAAAAAAAAATTACAACTGAACTGGCAGTGTTTCCCTTTAAAAGCACACATATACATATTATGTTATACATGCACATGTCAACAGTCTAAAAGTTTCGTCTTTGTTATTTGTTAAATATTTTGTTCTTCAAGATTACTGCTTTCATTTGTTTTCCTCTTTTATATATAGTCTGTGATTCTCTGTTGATAGTTGAGGAAACAAGTGCGCAGGTGCATTCTTGCACAAATCATGCATGTTGCACTGTAGGTAGAGGAATATTCACTTCCAGGGAGGTGTCGTTCACTTAACTTCTGACGTACATAAAAAAAAACAACTTAAATGGATGTAAAGGCAAATGTTCACATCTGATACAAAAATATTCTCTGAAAACATTGAAAAAACCCCACTTAAGTCATTTTTTGGTCCTTAAACCAGTGGAAGACCTGTTGCAAGTATGGCCTAAAATTAACTTTCAGGCCCAAAATTTAGTAAGACTTCTAACCATTAAATTTAATTAAAATGAATTTCTTCCTTACATGTTTGTACAAACTGAGAGATAATAAATCTGATAGGTAGGGCCTGCATCTCTCATGTTACAAGCCATTTTGAAAATGTCTGGAATTATAAGCATGTCAGGATTATGTGATTAGGAAAGGCTCTGTCCATGTGACTTACCTGAATCAATTGTTAGTGCTTCTTCATCTGAAGGATCAAGCCACCACAGGGGAAGATTAATAGGAGTACCATCTGCAACCTTCTTTTTGGCCAGTTTTAAAATTTTATCAGAAAATTGAAAATGGAGGGTTGTAAATTTTTTTGCTATCTGAACAGTCTGAAAAGCCACACATTTGTTAATAAGTACTTCCTTATTAAAATATATGTAAACAGCAGTCTTACTAAAGAACATTAATTTATGTTTTGCCTGGTTTTAATGCATTGGTTACATCATGGATGTTATCTGCTTTCTTAGTGATATATTTACTATAGATAGTTTTTAACTTTGATAAGCACGTTGGAGTATGCAGTTTGATTTCCTTATTGAGAGGAAGAACATAATAACATAAGCATGCAACTAAGATAGGAAAGAAATATGAGGGCATTTATGAACACAATGACCATGGAGATACTGATGAAAGAAAAATACAAACTTTGTCAACCATGTAATATACGAAGAAAGCAGTCTTCTGGGATTTGGCACCGTGTATATGTGGTGTTAACCGACGTTCCTCCGAAACGTTGGTTAACACCACATATACACGGTGCCAAATCCCAGAAGACTGCTTTCTTCATAGTCACCGCTGTGAAAGCATCAAATCTTACATGTAATATACATTTCATTTTCTGAACTGGTAGTATTATACTGTATTATCCCAGAAAGAAATTGGATATATTTTTCACTCTTCAGTGGTAAAGCAAGCATAGCATGCGGAGAACAAACTGGATTTGCCAGAAATGAGTGATTTCGTACAGCACGACTCCAGTATTTTAATACGTATCACTGCTATTGCATTGTCTTTGGACTCTTTATAAAATTTTAAAATTTATAATTTATTTATAAAATAGGCCATCTGCGCATATAGTATAGTGAAACGTATTTTGAAGGTTTCAGAAACAGACCCTATTTGTGAAGTGTGTTCTTCAAGTCAGTCTGTGATATCAAATGTAATGAATGAGAATATAATGGTAAAAAAAATCTTTATGTTGACTCTGTGACCTGTAGTCCACAAGCAAACTATACCGACCAAGTGACTGCCGCTTGTCGGCGAAATTAGTGCCAATTTTTGCAGATAGAGGGTGTCAAGTGGTCAGTGCAACGGATCCCCATGGTCATTAATCTCGGTGTTCTAGACCGGAGCCGCTATTTTCTTGAAATAGCTCCTAAATTATCTTCACAAGGCTGAGTGGACCCTGTTCCAGACCAACTACTTCTCAGAAAATCTGGTAGCGCCAGGAATCGAACCTGGAACCTCTGGATATGTAGGCAGGAACTCTGACCACTAGACCACAGAGGCGGTCATCTTTATGTTGACATAAAACAGAAAGTGAGACCACTTTAAAAATAACATGTCCACTTGCTCTAAATAAAAAAAAAATAGTAGTGGATAGTCACCTGAACAATAATGGAAATTTAACGGCTATTCAATATGTTATGAACTGACTTCTGTTACAGCTTTAAAAATTAAATGTCCACCATGCAGGAGGAAGATAACTATAGTTTAAGTTTGACGTAAAGGTCAGTTATTTTGGTGCACAAAATATTCCTTACCTCTTCATCAAAATCCCATGGAGTATAGGAAAACTGTATTGTTGGCATAAATGTATTTGCTTGAAGCCAGCGGATGAATAGTTCTTTGGTTGGAATATTAACATATCCATTTCCTCCAACCATATCAGGGATGATGAAGGAGTAACCAACCATGTTCATGGCCAGAAGAGTTGTGACTATAGCTTTGAGTCCATTTTCAATGCTCCAGATGGAAGATTTGTCTGACATTCTTACAAAGATGGGCTCTCCTTGATTCCTATGTATGACACGAACTTCTGCTAATTTCAAGTCACTTATACTGGCTACTGTTTTTACATACTCTGTAGTAAATATGTTTGGTTGCAGGCGAATTGAACCAGCAAGTTTACCTATTTCAGGTGCTCCAGGTAGATAGGCAGCTTCGCCTGCATCAAATTTAAATGCATCTATATCGTACATTCTGCTCAAGTTCTGTAGCCTGCCTTTCCACCATGAAACTGCATCAGGGTTTGTAAAATTGATAACACCACCAATTCCATCCCACCAGACTGTTAAAGTACGTGTCATATCTGCATTTGTTGCTAGATATTGATTCTTTGTGGCTATGGTATGAGCTGGACAGTCTATATTAATAAAAGGATGTGTCCAAAGAGTAACACGGAATCCTTTCCTCTTCAGAGATTCAATTAATGACTTTGGATCATCAAATGTCTTATTGAAAAACTCTGCAGCGCCATAACAAAATTCCCAATTGTCATCAATTTCCAGTTGACTGTTGTTGAAACCATAGTAGACAATCTGTTTAGCAAAATCATTGATAATGAATGTATTAATGACCTTTTTATATTGTGCCCAAGTGGACCAAATGGGATGTTGAAACATTCGCTCATCAGGTATGTCACGAGGAAGTGGAATGAAGTTGCGAGTGGTGTGTAAATGAGTGATAACTGGATTACTTCCTGAACACAGAATGTATTTAAGAGTCACTGTTCCAGAATGATCAGGAAGATATGGTTCTTGTATTTTACTAGTAAGACACAAGTGTGTTTCATTCTGAGAAACAAACAAAGACACATCTGGAGGAACAAAGATGGCATTCCCAGAAGAAGTAAGCCAGTAAGGTTCTACAATACCTTCATTTCCTCCTAACCCTGTTACATATGGTGACTCACATCTGGTGTTATTTTGTGATGGCCAGTACTGGGTACTAGTGATGGGTCCACCATACAGTTGGTCACCCTGCAGTGGAATACAAGCATCAATCTGTGTATCATCAGGACCTATAATAACATGCATTCTACAGTAGACAGCATCTTGATCTTCAGATGAAATTGCATTCACTTGCAACAATCCTCGAGCAGTTTTGTCTTTGTCTTTAAGCCACTTCACACATAGATCTAATTCCTTTCCATCACATACAGTAGGATTTCCGAGTTCTTCAGAGAATGTTATGTCTATTTCTGATAAAGGTTTCCCATTACCTGGAAAAATAAGTCATTAAAAATAGTTTTTTTTTTATTTCAGATGAATGCATATTACAGATTTTCCATTCATCTTGACAAATATTTGTGTCTGTGAATAAAATGTTATTCTAATTCATACGAAACAAAAAAAATTATATATATATTGAAAATATTAGATAGAAATTTTGGAGCTCTTTGTAAAATTCCTCCATGGACAGAAGAGGTGAAGGCAATCCTACTCCACAGATTCTATTCTTATCTACAACTAAATAAAATTGGCCAGGAGAGGAGGGAAAGTCATGATGAATAATTTTTAGCTCATGTTCCTAATTTTTTTAATGACAGGCTTATGTTATTACTGTGTCCATTCATTCGTATGTTGATCTATCTGTATGACTGCTCAAGCCACAACTTTTGACTCAATCTTCTTCATTCTTACTGAGGTTTTGCATGAGATTCCTCAGTCCTGCAGGCAAATTCCATAATAGTACCTTGATTAAGCCATGACTGCTTCCTTCCAAATCCTTTCCAGTTCATCAGTTATTCCACCATTCAACACTTCATAAAACCATAAACTTCAACTATTCATAAAATAACCCATTCACAAAAAAAAAAAATCCTTAAACCTGGTAAGAAGATCATGCCACTGTTGGTCATCTCATGTAACTTCAGATCTCCTGCCATCAGTATCAACTAAGGTATTTTTATCTGTGTATGTAGACTGCAAGACAAAATCATGACTACATGAAATCTATATTCATCTTTCGATATGATGCTAAAGTAGCCTGTTTAAAATATTCAGATGTACTGTATTATTCATTATGTTCTTAGTATTACAGAGTTAGTTTATTACCGGAATGTGGAGACCATAGCAATACTGATGCTGATGATCTGGTTGCCAAAAGCCTGAATGTAACTTGGGGTGTTCGAGGCCCAGTCAACCATATCTGGACTTCAGAGACTGTCAGTAGGGCACCAAATGTGATAACTGTATTGAAAATAATCACTGAAATTATTGGTAAATTCATAAGACTTACAAAATTCTCTGTCAAAGAATATTACACTAATTTCTATGGAACCCACTGCACATATTGTTCAGTTCTGGGTGCAGCAGTGCATGTATTCTTGACAGTACAAATGATGGTGATATATAATCTCATAGTGTCTCCTTACAGATCTAACGTGAACAAAATCCCCATGTAAACACTAGTGTTGGAGAAGCTATCACTGTATCATTACTGTATCATCTGTTTGCATTACAATGCAATAAATTAAATAGACTACACAATTTTAGTTACCACGGGTAACTATCCAGTTGTTTTCTGCTGTGCTTATATGTTCATGCATATGGTTTTCATCCATCCATTTACTTGATGAAAACTCATGTGATACATTTAAAATATAAAACATTTTCTTCAGATGCTATGTGTGTATATATATATATCCAACAGCCCTTATACTTTCATGAAGCATCTAACATATATTATTGGATAACAGCTGCTTTACCTTGTACTATCACCTGTTACTAAGTCTGTATCACATTATGATCAATTTTCTCTTCCTAGCAGGATGCTATGCAACACAGGAGTATATATAATTATGTTAATCTGACAGATTTTCATCAAAAAACTTAAAAATGAACCAACTCTGATCTTATCTTTCTTTCTGGAAAAGGAGCACAAAGATATTCTCTAGAATGTAACCTACTTAATTAATTACAATAGCCTTCACTTAACTATGTAAATATTTGCAAATTCTGCTTATTTAATTTAATTTTGTTTGTATATTCAAGTAGATCCAATTACAGGGCGAGAAACAAGTTCACACACCATTGGATATAGAATGTGTATTTATTCATGATATCACACAGCTTTGTATAGTTGCTGTATCATTCGCTTTAAGAAAAAAAATGTGGCATAATGTAGAAGTTCTAACTGGAGACATAAGGTGTAACAAGAAATTAATTTTTATGAAAATTTGCCACACTTCACTTCACTTGTTAGTTGTACCTGTCTTGTCTTCATTGTCTTGGTACTGAGTATTACTGAATGCCCAAATTAAATAATGTTAATGCATTTATTTTCAAATTGCTGTTATAATGCAAATGTGAAGGGGGGGGGGTGACTATATTCTGGACTTTGCCACTTCCTTACAGGACGGTTTTAAAATTATTACAGATTTCAAGGATATGTGTTGGGGGTTGGTGAATTTTCCAGAAATATTTGAAAGACCTATGGATTATTATGCACTAGGTCACAGTGAGTATGCCTGAGGATACAAAATGGGGCACTCTGTGTTGGCTCATGTTAATACAGTTAAAAATACGAGTAAAGTTGTCTCTGTGCTTAGTTAATTTAACAACACGGCATGAAGACGTATGGGGGAGTGGAGGTATAGCTCCATCAGTCTTGGCCTTGTCACTAGATGGAGGTGAGTGGTTAGCATCAAGCCTCTTCCCCTTTACCCACACGGAAAGCACAACCGACATCCATTGGCTAGGAGGCCGGGTGGGCCCCAGAGCCGGTCTGGAGGCTGTGAACAGAAAAATGCTTTCCACACTGGGCATCGAACCCTGTCCGTTAAAACCGTTGCCCGTCGCTATACCGACTGAGCCAACAGTGTATGCTCACTTACATTTCATGGCATGTTGCGCTCTATGTTTGTAAACTCATGCAGGGCTGCATTCCTTGACCCTAGCATACAATACGTGCGATGGTGTTGAATGATTATGAAATTACTATTTAAATAGAAGTCTGACTACGAATTATACATCGTTTGTATACATGAAATATTTATCACTACGATAAAGGAAGTACCCATGTATCTTTTTCACGCAAATTCACGTTGCGTATTTTCGTAATGCGATGTAACAATGATCTGTTAATTTCTTTTTTTCCGAACAAATTTGAGAAATATTTGTGTACCATAAATATACATTAATTAAATACAATTCTGCGTATGGGAGAGAATAACAATGTAGTGAACAATTTGATCATAAGAAAGTCGTATACAATATAAGTTGCTGTTATTCGCACGGTGTATATTTAACGACTGTCATGAGATGATTAAACTAACCTGTACAAGCAAGAAAAGAGACGTAAGTCCAAAAATGCAAGTTCTGATTCTGGTCTTCATCACTTTTCACTAAAATAAATTTATCTGATGTTATTTTTTTTGTCATTCTGTAGTGGGCGTGGTCAGTTTATAATTACTGCTGGCAACTTCATATTCTCATGTACATTCGCCATGGCCCAATTCTCTTCTGCCAACGAAATTCACGGGACATTCGATATGGGTGATCCGTGTTAGCTGGCGACGTTTGTGTCGTTTGTGTTGCGACCCATGCGATACGTTGTATGGTCGTATCTAATCGATGTTTTTGAGTCTGTCTATTTCGGTCTATATTTCGAACTTCTGATACGCGAAGGTGTTGCCAGGCCTCGCCTACGTATTTGTCACCGACAAACTAACTGAATCAGCAGCCCCGTACCCAGCAGTATGGTGATAGTATTATTATTATGATTATGCAGTCAGACCCGACAGTATACCGAGTCTTGTTATAATGGATTGCTCAGAAATATTTGTACTTGTTTGAAAGTTCATTTTTAATCTTGGTCTCACAATACTCCTCCAAAATTTGTGGCAGCAAGCAGCGATTGTCCCCATGCAAGAAAGAAATTTGAAGTTCATTATTTTATCATACATGCTCTTTTTAAAATCTAAGTAGAACTATTCCCAGCGTGTTTTTATGAAATTTAATCTACTGTTACCAATTTAGTCACTTACCTTAACTTTGTTGCCCCTTATATTTGTTTGAAAGGTCAAGCTGCCTCCCTCTATTTTAATTTTTGTTATGCTTTTGACATCACTCCACATGCATTGTAACCTCATAAATCCAATAATTGCGAATTATCATCTGGTTACTTAAACAGGTTTCAGAGTTATGTAACTCTGTACACTTATGTGTACGTTTTTCTAGTATACTTTCATCCTCCTCCATCACGCCTTAAGGGTCGGTTTTAGGGCCTTTATTTTTTTTTATGTTTTTATTAATTTATGTGGGATAATTAATTACTCCAACTATCTTCTTTTTGCTGATGACATTAGAGTCTAGCAACAATTTATTTCACCTAAGGATTCTTTACTTTTACAGCCTGATACTAGTTGTGTAAACAAATGGTGTTCAGCAAATTTTATAAAGCTAATTTTAGTAAAATTAGAGTTATTTCATTTGCTAGGAAAGCGAACTTGAAAATTTTCTTATATTGCAAACAAATTGTATTAAAGATCAGGGCATACATGTTGATTGTAAAATTAATTTTCATCATGTCAGTATTCTGTTTCCATTTGCCATTAAGTTACTAAGGTTAATTCATACAATCACATTATATTTTTCTGCTGGTGGCAGTGTACTGATTTTGCTTTGGTCAGATCTAAACTGAAATGTTCTTCAGTTGCTTGTAAATCTGCTACTATTACTGATTCCAGTAAACTTGAGTGCATACAAAGAAAATTTGCAACTCTTTGCCACAATAGACTTTTTTGAGATGCAGAATATCATTTATTTATTAGAAAAATTAAATTTGCTGATACTGCAAATCAGGTGTAATCACTTTGAAGCTTATAAGATCTAAAAGTTTGTGATGATGGTAAATTGTTACAATTAATATGTTGTTGGACATTATCCATCATCTTGTCTGTTCTTAAAAAACCGTCTAGTTTCTATTAAAAACACAACGTTTCGGGAACTGCAATCTGTCCCCGTCTTCAGGTAAAACCTACTCAGTTGGGTCCAATAGACAGAGCTAGCCCCTATCTCCGGACGATAGGGGAGATAGGGAGATAGTCCGGAGATAGGGGCTAGCTCTGTCTATTGGACCCAACTGAGTAGGTTTTACCTGAAGATGGGGACAGATTGCAGTTCCCGAAACGTTGTGTTTTTAATAGAAACTAGACGGTTTTTTAAGAACAGACAAGATGATGGATAATGTCCAGCAACATATTAATTGTAACTTTGAAGCTTAGTTTATAATAAATGTCTTTAGTGGTGCTAAATGTTGCCCCTTTGTCCTAAAAGCAGTTGGCACTTGTGTTATTACTTGGAGCATACATAACTGTACCATATTCAGTTGCTCCACCAGTCACTGTCCTTCAGTCAGATGTGTTTGTGCTGTAAATGTGGTATGTAAATCTACAGATGTCTTTAGAAACTCGGGTTTAAATATAAACAACTTTAACTGACTGCTTTTTCTTTATTTGTTATTTCTTTTGTTCTGTGTTGTCTTATTGCTGTTGTTCAAATTCCTGCTGGCTCTGTAATTTATCACTGGCTGTTGAGCTCAGCACATAAACAAATATAGAATTGATTTGTTGTTTAGTGAATGGGCGAAAGCTTTAGGAGAGGCCAGGGTCCTTCATGGATCACGCTGTTGGGGGATTGATTGATTGATTGATTGATTGATAGTGATTGTAACAGTAAATATCTTTTACATCACATGTCCATGTCCTTTATTGTAATTTCTCTCCGGGGAGGAGAAAAACTGGAATGGTAAGATGTTACAGTACTGAAGAGTAAAGCTTGAAACATTCAAATCATTTTGCCTTGAAACACTATTATATAGCTGCTACTTAAGAAAATGTCAGGGGATTTTACTTGTTGATGTGTTTGTTGATTGTCCATGGATTCTGCTTATGGACTGTCTTCCACCTTTGTTAGGTATCAGTTTCTTAAAACGATGGCAACTGTGCTTCCTGATCTGTTTTACACAGAAGTAACCACAAACATTGTGGTTGTGGTTTGTTTACTAAAGGGTAACTGCAAAACACTATCAGTGGCCTTCATGGACATGTACTTAGTGGAGATAAGTTTATCTTTTAGATTGTGATGTTCAAGTGGATCAAAGGCTTGGACTTTATGAATGTTCTCCCCATAGTCTTGACCATGTGTCTGTCTTTTTGGGTTACTTAATATGCTGACTTTTTTGTGTACATATTTTCTGTCCCAGGCCAAATGATGAGGCATATGTTTATTTTACATTGTTGTGACTTATCATGAATGCTGATGAGTGGTATGCTCAGGCCATAATGGACACATTCCTTGAAGACTGCATGAACCCAGCATGCATATGGCAGTGGCATAGAAAAATATTAAAGTATTATACTTGTATAGCAGACACCAGTGACTACCACGGTGTGAGGTAAAACGGTCAGCAGCAGACACTGGTGATTGCCATGGCATTATGCAAATGGTCTGCAGCAGACATTGGTTACCACCAGTATGTGAAGCAAATGGTGTACAGCAGGCACTGGTCAATACTCTGGCATGAGGCAAAGGGTCTGCAGCATGCACCAGTGACTATCATGGCACTTAATATGGGCACAATGCTCTGTCAGTTGCATAGGATATACAGCATCATATGGCAACATAGTCATGAAGAATGAGCTGGGAAGGATGAGACATGAAGCAGTTCACAGGGACTGAGGGAACTCAGGAAAAATTAAATCAAGATAGCCACTATATAGTCTGAGATTCAAGCCTGGAACTGTATAAGGATTAATCAGGAGTCTAACTGGATATTCGGCACCAATCTAGATAGTATTTCATCTCAGGGACCTGCTAATAACTTATATGTGAAGTAGGAAGCTTCTTGCATCATAAATTCAAATAGTTTATTGTTATAAATATACATGACATACCTTTATTGTTATAAATATACATGACATACCTTAACATCACTGTTCTTGGTGGATATACAAATATTTTCTTCTTACAAAATCATATAAAAATATTCCATTATTCTATGCATGTAAATGTGCCATCCCTACAGTCAACTAACAAATCTTCTTGCTTAGTTTACAAAGAACATAAATTTAGTTCCTGTTTTCATGTTATTCCATTGGATAGAAGAGTTCTTATTTCATGGTTCAACTTCGCAATTACTGGATCCTCAAGTGAGTAGGTACCTGTGTTCAAGAGCACATCTCGCTCTTCTATCAGGGCTTTGAGTTGTAATTCATGTCCCTCCTGTTGCAAGGAGCTGGGTCTATTCAGATTAGTATTTGAACTGGGCTGAAACACAACACAGGAGTTTCTGGTATATTTATTTTGTTACTGCTTATCAGCATCTGTTATTGTGAGGTTTTGAATAAATCTGGAATATGTCTACAAATTTTAGTATAGCTCTGGCATATCTGATTTCATGAAAATTTATTCACCATTTCTTGAGCTGTCATATCCTCGGGGACAGCCTGATGGACCCAGCTGAGTAGACTTCATAATTTTACCCAGTGACAGGCAGAGCAAGCTACCAAAACGTGTTTCATAACCAAAATATGAGGTGATGGAAACAGTCCAACATATGTGTCAGATGGTTAAGGTGATGTTGCTATAATATACGAGGAGCGTTCTGTATATTATGCCTATTCGTTTAATGAAAACAACAACAGATACAGAAAGCACAATAACACAGTTAAACACAGGAAGATTTCAGCTACTTACAGTAATTTTTCCACATAATCACCACCATTCATTATGTACTTTTGCCAGTGATGAACAAGAGCCTGTATGCCGTGCTCGTAAAATTCTGTGCCAGCAGAGGCAAGCCACTTTCTTACAGCTGCAACGGCAGCATCGTTGTCTGCAAAATGTTGCCCACATAGTCCATCTTTCATAGGCCCAAAGAGATGAAAGTCTGAAGGTGCTAAATCGGGGCTATAAGGTGGATGTGGCAGGACAGTCCAGCCAAACTTTGCAATGTGCACAGTGGTTGCCAAACTGGTATGGGGTCTAGCGTTATTGTGTTGCAAGCGAAAGGTTGTCTGCTTCTCTGGCCTGACTCAGGAAATGCGGGCTTCCAGCTTAGTCAGCGTCGTCTTTTAGCGTTCAGAATTGACAGTCTCACCAGGCTCCAGGAAATCTAACAAAATCACACCCCGCCTATCCCAAAAGACCATGCAGATCACTTTCCCTGCCAATGGCTGTGTCTTGAACTTCTTTTTCGCCACTCCATGGACTGTCTTTTAGATTCTGGCTCATAGTGGTGACACCATGTCTCATCTCCGGTGACGATGCTGTCCAGAAATTTGTTGCCTTCAGCCTCAACCTGGCACAACAGGTCCTGAGAGACTTCCATTCGATGAGTTTTGTGGTCCTGTGTAAGCATCCGCAGGATAATCCAGCTTCCCCAACATCGTTTCCAATGCATTACAGTCGATATTAAGCCGTGCACACAGTTCCATGGTTGTTATCCGCTGATCTGTACGGATGAGTCAATCGAGGTGCTGTTCATTGTGAGGAGTGGCAGCTGAGCAGGGATGCCCAGGGTGTGGCTTGTCGTGCACTTCACTTTTGCCACTGTTGAAACGCACTACCCACCGCCTCACTGTGCTGACATCCACTGTATCATCTCCGACACCTTTAGCAAGTATCGATGGATGTCAATGGGTGCAATTTGTTCTGTAGTGAGAAATTCAATAACACATCTCTGTTTCGTACGCACTTCTATGTCAAACGCCATTTTGGTAGACTGCTCTGCTGTCACTATCTGTCGCACGACAACCAAACTAACAGTACATTGGCGGGAAGGTTCAGCCTTTACTACAACACCACCAACATCCAGCTCAGATGTTACATATTAACACAAAAAAATAGGAGGCATTATATATGGAGCGCCCTTTGTATATAAAGTATTTACTCTTACAGCTGAATACAGTGACATATTTCACAGTGCTAATACTTACTGTACCTTTTTTGAATGCATTGAGATAGTGTTAGAAGGACAGTGCTGTGGTGGTACATGTGGATTAAGGAATTCACTGTATTGCTGACAGGCATCTCCCAGACCACCATGTGACTTGATTGTGTTCATCTCTGTTCGTAATTGCTGGATTACTGACTGATCTTCTTTCATCTCCTTCTCGCTTTCACCCAGTAAATTCTGCAAACTGACAAGTACAAGGGAGTACACTGAATGACGTGTTACACTGCCTTGAATGAGGGTGCCATTACATCTATATTTTGTTGTAAGGATTTTCCAAACATGATAGATCTACACTGAAGGCTTAATATGCAGTAAATGTTCAGTTCAGTTCCAGTCTTAAATAATTACTGACCTGAAATAGTGTCCATGTATTAACATGGAGATAAAATATCATGTACAATTATTGACTTTTTTGGACATTATCCATCATTCAATCTTCCTACTAAAAAAAAAAAAAAGAAAAGAGTAGTGTATGTCAATTTGGTAACAACAATTCTTTAAAGATTTTGGTTTCACAATGATGTTTTCATTATGGTATACGCATGTCTTGTCACTTACTTGTACCGACTACATTACAAATCACTGAAATTTAATATTTAAAACACCTGGTTATGTTTCAGAACTTAAAATATTATCCTGGACTCAGACTGAAAACTGGTACAGACACAGAAATTATACATAGTAGTGTGGGAACATCCCACATTCACCGTAACTAGCCCTTCTCCTTACCGGCGCGCGCCGCGCTACCTCACCGGTCAAACATCTCATCAGCCACGGTCCTTTTCAGGGCCAACAAACTGTTCCGAAGAAGTGGGTTGTCATAGGAGTAATGACAAGACTACACATCAAGAGCCCCCACAGTAGCTTGGGCTACCCTTTTAACATTTATTTCAAATTCCAGCCATTCTTGATAAAAATAAATGTGTGAAATACGTGAGTGAAGTATGCCATAGATTATAATAAAAAAGCATATTGACATATCTAGAGACTAACAACTGAACACTAAATTCTGAAACAACAGAATAAGTATTGTCTATATAATACAAGTACATTTTCAATACAGAGGTTTCCTCCCGCCTTCCCCCTCCAGGTAAAGTGTAATATTAACAGAAGATGGGATCTGCCTTACCTGCCCAGAACACAGAAAAATATTCAAATCCAAAATATCACATACCACCTAAATTAAATTACTTCTTGGACCAGAGTTTGAAAGTGATTGACAGATTCTGATGTTGTGACAAAATAGAGAATGGGTTATGGTAAAATTTGTGAAAATTTTTTCCTTTCTTTAGCACAAGGCGTGTGCATTGTGGTAGATCAGAAAACAATTATATTATATCTTGTGCATTTATTTTATTTAATAATTAATGACAAATTCAAACTAATTTTCCTTCTCAATGATTATAATATGCTGACCTTTCCTTGGATGTCTTATGGAAAACTTTCATGAAATGAATGTCTCTCAATTCTGCATCTATAAACTGTGAAACTTGGAGATTTGAGGTTCTCAAAATGATGAATGTTGTGATGTTATAGGATGTGGTGCCATGTAGTGTAGTAGAGAGGTACCAACATTCAGGAGCACACTGCATGGCATCACACCCTGAAAGTCTGGGATCATCATCACAGATCAGAATTACAGGCTGTATGTTGCATCCACACAGAACAATGGACAGTATTTGGTTACAGTAACAAATATGTTGGCACCACATATCTCTAAGAGAGAAGTACTGTTCTAAATAGGTCAATTCGGTCATAAAAATTGGAGTTCCTTATGTGATTAATTTGAAAATTTACCTGATATCCTTTAGTTCTTCTTTATTATGTTTAATCTGAATTTGAACATGCTGTTGATGTTCATTTTTTATATGATTAATTTCTCTTACTGCATTAGCCCACTGTTCTTTGAAAAATGATTTGGACTTCAAGGCTGATTCCAGTTTCTCTTCACTTGATTTCTGTGCAAGCAAGAAACATCATAAACTAACATAAAGACAATGCAAAATCAGATAATTTAAAAGAAATGAATAAAAGGAAATATATTTTCAATGTCATGGTGCTGAATATCTCAGTGAATGGATAATTAACATTTCTGTTTTGGCACTCCAAGAAACGTTAACAGTCCTAAACATCTCTACAAATGCCAAATTTGTAGTCAGCATGCTTAATAGCTATTGAAAATTCTGTATGACAATGGTGCTCCATGATGATCATCTGAACTAGAAGCCATTAATTTTGTCACACATACCCCCTACACATGACAATATGTATATATCATACAACTGTCATATTATTTTACATTTCAAACACAGATGACACAGATGTTGCATGTTTTTAAAAAGATCTCTTATTATACAGTTTTTCAGCACTCCACATTGAATTCTTGTTGAAGTAATGCTGTCACCTCAGACATTTGCATGTCAGTAGGAAAGACTATATAGGATTGATTATGAGGATGAATAATGAATAATTACATGGAAAGGATGTGGAAGGAAGTGGTCATGGTCTAACTTGAGGTACTATCCTGGCATTTGCTTGAAGAGACCGAGGAAAATTACAAAACACCTTAGATGGAATAGCAGGTTCCTGGGTTGAGATTAAGTAAGTCTGTTAACATGAATATTTATATATACTTTGTTTTCATGAAAAATAATGAGGACAGTACCAGCTCCTGTAACAAGGATAAAGTTTGGTCCTTTGTGAGACAGGTGTACTTAATTTTTTCCAGATCACATTCCTGAGCTGTCACTGTTTCTCTCAGTAGAGCGTTTTCCTTCTCCATTTTAAAAATCTTCTCTTCCAGACCTTCCTTCTCCCTTTCAAGTTTTATAATCTGAATAAAAAATATAGTTAACACAAGTTAAAATCTGAGATCAGTGGTCATCAGGTCTCCATTGTAATGTTTGAAGGCCAGCTAGATAGTTACCAATCTATGAGTACATGCAGCCCCCAAACTCTTTTTTGGTTCTGACCAACATGCAGCTTCTAGATTCTTTTTAATAACAATTTTTTCACAAACAAAAACTATAACTCTTACATCAAATCACATATCTGAATGATAAAAAGACTGGAATGTAGAGTAGTATCCAACAAACATGTAATACTATTGATATTATTTACTCAATGACCAACTGGCAATAACTGTTGTGAAATCATGACCTGTCTTTCTTCATAGAACAGGACTGGAAAACATGATGTTCTGCTGGTAACTAAAAAATTCTCAGTAATACTGTTATCAGTACTAAGTATCATTATGAACACAGGTATCTATATCCAAATTATAATTTCTGGTCTCAAGGAGATTGGGGAAGACACATTTATGCACCTCTTGGTTCTGAAAATGATGGAAACCACACAAGTATTCAGATTCTATTACCTTGAGAGATAGATCATCTTCAGTTCTTCTAAATGATTTTTTCATCTCTAAAACCTTCAATTTATATTCTTGTTCTGTTATCTCCTTATATCGACTTAACTGAAACGAATTTTAAACAATTTACTTAACATTGTAATTACCATTATCTGATTGGGGATTTAAATTTAATTTTAAGTGTAAAAGTAGACAGTGGGTGTAAATATTTTACCTGATGATAGCCATAAAAAGCTGAAACATGTTGCAATTTAAAAATGTGTTTATATTTTGTTATGTACATTTATTTGAAATTAGTATTAAAATGACTATATCCAAGGCACAGTAAAACTGAAAGTATGTGCAGTTGATACTTGTTCAACTGATTAAATGATTAACTGACCCACTCACCAACCAACTGAGTTACTCTTTGTTAATGCAATATGGAGAATCAGAACTGACTGTCTGATCCTAAACCAGTTTAGCTTCAAAACATGTTACTGGACCTTTTTTTTATTGCTAGTGGGGTGGGACTAGGTCCCTTGTATTGCGGCCACTTCTGGCCTATTGTTCCAGCCCCAGATGATAGGTGAGGGTGATTGTGCAGCAATTGGTGGAATGAAGATTGGCAGGGGAAACCGAAGTACTCGGAGAAAACCTGCCCCAGCGCCACTTTGTCCACCACAAATCCCACTTGACCAGACCCGGGATCGAACCTGGGCCACAGAGGTGGGAAGCCAGCGACTAACCGCTTCAGTTATGGCGCGGCCCTTACTGGACCTTAATTCAGTGTATTATTTATTATTTTCCCCCTCTCCCTTTCAGTTCAAGTGGTCATATTGAAAGAGACTTACTTCCACACTCCGTAAGCACCTCTTCATCTCACCTGAGTTCAATGTTTGGCTCCTTGTAATTTCCTTCTTTTAACTACCCAGTAATACTGTGAAAGCAGTTTAAATCAATGAGTTTCTCATGATAAATATCCTCCACTCACTGCTCTTAGGTTGACAATTTTCCTAAATTCGCTTCCAGACACATGTTATTTCTATTTTGATCATATTTTCATTTCTCTTCATTATGTAAATAGTCAGTAAAATTTAAGAGTGATAAAATAAGTAAGAAATATTAAAAATAATCAAAGAAATTCTTGTGAGGTTTGAGGTGAAGATCATGGTCTTCTGGGATGTGACGCCATATGTTTTGGTAGATACGTACCAGATGTTTCAGAGGAACCTGCTGCCTCCATCTTGTGTGTTGAAAATGGAAGAAGCACATTTCTCTGAAACATCTGGTACTTACCTACCAAAGTACATCAAGGAAATATCTTAGCTTGTAGGTCGGGAATTTGAAATAATAAGATCAGTGAATAAGGGAGACAATCAGCTATAGAAGAAGAGCAACTAAACAAAGAAGCAGATAAGTAAGATTTGAAGTTTTTACGGCGGTGACTATGAAGAAAGCAGTCTCCTGGAAAGTGGCGCCGTGTAGATGTGGTGTTAAACGACGTTTCAGAGGAACGTATCGCCTCCATCTTCAGGGTAGAATGAAAAATTAGAAAATCCGCAAGCAAAGAAACAGTGAGAGCAGATGCAAGCAGTCTGCTTCTTCAAAGAAGCAGATAATTTGTAACGTTGATGACAGCGATGATCTTATTGATTCTTTCAAGTAAAAGATTCAACAAAATATGAAATAAAATGACAGAGAAATATGATAATGGTCAGAGAATTAAAATGTATCATGTTCAAATGGATACATTCTCTAAGAAATTTGGAAGTGGCTTAATCTTCATTTACTTCAGTCTGCTTTTCACATACTTCCTGTTCTCTTTCCACGTTTTTACAGATTTTTAGACGGAGTTCATCAGTAGTATCACTAAGTGATTGTGCTAGCCTATGACACTCTTCCACGCTGTGGTTTAGTTTTGTCTCCATTTCCACACATTTCTTCTTCCATTCTTCAGTCAATGCAGAGAGATGGGCCTGTTCTTTCTTCTTCAACTGAAACATACAATATATACAATGTTTCAGTAGTTACCTCTGTCAAGTTACTTTTGTACATTCTTTACACAGCAGGCAAAAAAGGAAGACCCACAGTGATGGTCATGACTGTCCATCCATCTACATATTTGAACACTGGAATCGCCTAACAGAATTTCACAAAATTTGAAATGAACATTTTGCCATTGGAGGTCAACCCACACTCATGCTAATTTCCTACAATCAATAACTGCAACATGGCAGATGCATGATTTTGTGAGGTAGGAGTGATGCTGGTGCCACTGTTGAAATACTGTAACTGTGGAAATGAATGCATCATACAAACAGCAGAAACTGTGATAACAGTGACCTAAGTAACTATAACAACTTTTCTTTTTAAGTTTTATGAAAAACAGGTTAGCTCAATTGGTATAGTGATGGGCTCTGGGTTGGATGGCCACGGTTTGATTCCCAGCAGGGTCAAGAGATTATTTATGCAGAATGTAAAACCAGAAACTGTCAGCTGCCTCTAATCTGTAGTTAGTTTCTCATATGATAATAACTAGTGAATCTCTTGTATCTACATCTAAAATAAATTAATTTCATGTTATCAGTACTTATATGAATTTACCAGTAAGTTAATGAAAATTTGTGTGTAGAGTTCATCCTGTTATCTAGAAACGTACAATTTTCTCTATATGCTTAATTAATTAAGCAACACACCATGACGGCACATGGGGAAATGGAGATACAGGTTCATCATTCTTGACCTCAGCACTGGATGAAAGGAACTGATCCGATTCACACTCTGGCTGATTCACCCCTGAGGAAGGAGCCCCCTGGTATCCGTTGGGTGGGCCCCAGAGCCAGTCTGGATGCTTTGGACTAGAGAAAAATGTCTTACTGCAGCTGGTGATTGAACTTCAGTCATCCAGCCCATAGACAGTTGTATGCCAACTGAGGTATTGCAGTTCCTTAGCAAATGATCTACCAGTACTTATATAATACATGGCAATGAACATATTACATTCAGAAAGCCACCAGTGATATATAATTTATGCAAAGACTTGGAGTAATATGAAAACAAACGATTTATTTATTTAATGTGGCTTCCAGAGATCTATGTACATAGATATAGAATCTGTCATCATTTATACTAGATAACAAAATAATAATAAAATATTTTATCATACAATATAAATCCAACTGGTATAAAATATGCATATGTATCTATGATAGGCCACATATAATGTATGATACATCAATAGTTGACTGTTTATCATTACAAGTAGCATAAAAACCCAATCCTCTAAAGAAACTCCAATAACATTTTTGCACTCTATGCATGTAATGCCAAACACAGAAGGTGATCGTCTAACAGTGCATGGAATTTCGAGTTACTTTATAAAATTTATACAAGAAGGTGGAGGAGCATTTCAATTAGAATTGCCAAACACAAAAAGATGCTACCAAATCTGTGTTGCCTCTATGTGAAGTATGCGCCTGCTGAACTAATGAACAAAACAAAATTCTGATGTCTTCTCTTAATGATAGTGTAAATATCCGCATGCATTACGAGGGAAATCCCTTTCCATCACTATTAATCAAAGGAATTCCAATCATAGATGAAGATGGAAACTTAATGGTTCATTCCATATATTGCCCAATCAATTATTTCATGACAAAACTAATATCATATATTCACATTCATATAAGCCAAACAAAATAAAAAACTTGGGTGAGTTTTTCAGCTTTTAAAAAATACTTAAAATCCTATTTATTGAAACATTCTTTTTATATGATAAATGAATCTGTTAGTTTTAATAAAAAAGTGGATGGTGCAAGTACTCATGTTTGGATGTCACAGCCATTCATGAGCTGTATGTAGTAGCTTGTATATTTTCTGGAATGTTGTATTTATATATCGCTTATGATTGTAACAAATGTTGGAAGTATGCTTGTAACTTGTAGATTTATTTTGTTAACTTGTATTGCCGAATGACCTGTCCAAGTGTTATTATGTAGCAAAACAGATGAAAAAAGTAAAAATACAATACAAACAGTATGTATACCAACTGTTAAAGAAAGGGGTGGGATTGAACTCTATAGAAGCATTAATGACCTTCAGATTACAATACAGAACTGTAGCTTCCTTAGGCCTTGTACCAGAAATATTGAACCATTTTAGACTTAAGCCCTTCTTACAGACATCTAAGATACACACACTGTAATTGAAATAGCACTGTTAAATAATTAAAAAATCAATAAATCAGAGGCATAATACCTTTGCTTTGAAAAGTTCTTGTTGTCTCTCCTTCCAATCTTCTAGCTCCTCTGCTATTTTGAAGGCAATATGGTCATCAAACGCAGCAGATCCAAATTTTTGTTCTAGAAACAGAGAAGAAATAAATTCACAACTGGACAATCGTAAAATAATGCAATGGAGGGTTTACATTCTTTAGCTACTCTCCATTTTAAACTGGCAAAACACATGGTTAAATTTAGTCAAGCCTCACCTTAACTAATGTCACATATAAACCTGAGCAGAAGCACTTGACTCATATATCTGCATACAGACACATGCATGATGCAAATATGACTTGAACATGTTCAAAATTTGGAATTGCTTCTGTCATCTCAAACTACAGACTAAAGTGAAGATTAATTTTTTTTTTATAATAGCTATGCTGACCTGTTACACTTTTTAACAGACGAAAGAGTAACAAGATTTACTGAGTGCAACAAGTTTAATATAACGTAAAGCCTTTACACGTTTAAGCCACTAGTGGTCATCAGAAGGCAAAGCCAACACTACGAAGGAATACGTTACATGTACGATAAACACAAGTTGTAATAAAGGGATTTCTACCATTAGAAATCAAGAGTAGACTAAAATATTAATTTATTTAAAATTAACTGCTATTATATATTATTTTTAACAACACAACATGTTTCAGCTGGTAGTGACTGAAACATGTAAAGGCTTTACTTTATATTAAACTTGTTGCACTTGATGGGCCTTGCTACTCATTCATCTGAAGATTCAGAAAGTTCTTTTTGTGGTGGCAAAGATTCATGCTGTGTCATGAAGATCCACTGTTATGCAGCGACTATACAACAGCCGTTGCTAGGTAACGGCTCCACAAACAAACGTAAAAGCAACAATTCCACAGCAGCAATTGCACTACAGTATATGAGCGGTGTTTTCTTTGTGGTCCATGCTGAGATGTTATAAACAGGACAAGTGAGGAGCCAGTTAGTGAAGAGTTAGTTGGTGAGTGAATTAGTCAGAGAACTGCAGTTCAGTTGTTGTGAGCCGTTGCTGTGAGAAGCTGATAGCTGAGGCTGGGGACAGTTCAAAAACCCAGAGGAAGGGAACATCTGCCATTGGAAGCCATTACCAGAAGTCTGGTGAAGACACAGCAGGGACTTAAGAGTGTGTTCTAGTGAACTGTAAAGTGTGTGAATTAGTGAAACGGTTATAATTACTCATAGTCACAATTCTGTAAGAGTTCAATAAATCCAATTACCAATCCAAACCCCATCTATAGTCACACTCATACACGTGACAATACTGTGGTCTTCTGGGTAGATGTAAGTGCTTAACCAGTAGTCAACAGAGATAATGGCGATTTTCCCCCAGCAATGTAAATAATATTACAGACTATCTCAGTGAGATCTCTTCCATTTATATACTTTCAAATTTTTATTTTGTTTTAGTACTTTACCACACAGATTTTTTTTTCTAGTAAGGGTTTCTCTTGATTTCTTCTGTATAAATTTGTAAGAAGTTAGGGTACATGTTGTATACTGTCTTGAACTTTAAACACACCTGCATTTGCACTAAGCAGAGCCTTGTCTTCACTCTGTCTCGGTCCAAGATCATCCAGAGACAGTCTGATACCAAGGATGCCAACTTGTTCCACTGTTTTCAGATCAATTAAAGGTGTATTATAGTGGCACTGCTTCTGTGGGTGAAAAATAATATATGACCATTTTGTTTCAATATGTTTGAGTGGCAAATTGTCATTTACAGTTTCTCTCTTGGTAACTGAAGCAAGATGGAGCAGATATGATTCATAACCCTTTCCATGCTATAGATGTACATATATGTTTTCTGAGAAGTTAGATTAAGTTATGTTAGGTTAAGTTACAGAAGTCATGTATGTTCTTTGACGTTTCTTTTTCTGAATCAACTGAAGCAACTCAGCGTGTAAAGGGTTAATCTGTCAGACAATTTTTCACTATATCAGCCTGAATGTATAGCATTGTGAGGTATAGCATCCTTGACTTATACATGTTGTAGGGTGTACAGAATGCCTGATGAGGGAGCAGTGAACGCATGTCTCATACTATAGTTCTAGTATTAGCCCTCTACAGCATGGGTACTCAGCTTCATTCTTATGTGTCACTATTCACCAGGTGAATTATTATTATTACACCTTCTTTAAACCACGTTATCACAAAGTGCACCAAATATTTAAATTACAAAAGAAAAAGTCTTACTAACTCATGGAGCTGAGCCCTTCTTGAGGAGCCGCCAATTCTGCAGCTACTCAAGAATTTCCCAGCATTTTATGGAACCTGAAGGTTCATTACCGTGTTCACAAGAGCCTTCCACTGGTCCCTTTCCTGAGCCAGATCTATCCAATCCATACCATCCCATCCTATCTCTCTTAAGATCCATTTTAATATTGTCCACCCACCTACGCCTTGGTTGTCCCTGTGGTCTTTTTCCTTCCGGCTTTCCCACCAATATCCTATACACATTCCTTGTCTCCCCCATTCGTGCTACATGACCTGCCCACCACATCCTTCTTGACTTGATCATTCTAATTATACTTGGAGAAGAGTATGCGTTATGAAGCTCCTCATTATGCAGTTTCCTCCAACTTCCTGTCACTTCATCCCTCTTCGGTCCAAATATTTTCCTTAACACCCTGTTCTCAAACACCTTCAGTCTATGTTCCTCCCTTAATGACAGAGACCAAGAAGTATTCATATTTCATTTTGGGGTCAATGATGGCATGAATACAAGTAGCACACTAATACTGTATAGTCATGTACCAACAACTTGTTTTCCCCAACTATCAGAATGTATGTGAAGGCTTCTGTCCACCAAGACTTGGAGTTTACAGCTATAACAAATAACATTATTCTTTCACTTCTTGAAAGATAAACTGTTACTTTCAGCAGACAGCCACTCCCATTTGAGCTACTGAATTAGTGGAATTTCAGTGAGAAACCTGGAATTGGGCAGTGCTTAAAGTTGGGCAGGAAGATGGAGACAATAATGATGTAAAGAAAAGCATGTAAGTAGAACGAAAATATCTCTTGTCACTTCAGGCACTGGATTTCAACTGTAGTGTAGATAAAATTATATCTTGTTTCTAAGTTTATCTAATAACACTTTATCAGTTGCAGCTGTCATTCAGATGGGCAATTGTTGAATGACAAATTGGGACGTGTGGAAGGAATTAGTCATCGCCTATTATAGGATAGTATTCCAAGATTTAACCAGTGGGACTGAAAACCTAGCAAAGCTTCAGTCAGAAGAGCAAATCTAAACACTGACAAAGAGAACCATAATTAAATCTTCCCAAATAAACCCTCCCCAAGAAAATTAACCAAATAAAACCTCCAAAATGTTGATTAATATACTCTGCATGAATACATTACTGCTTACTTCATATAATGTCCCTTTAGTTATATGATATTTCTATGATTTCCACTCCAAAAAAACCATAGGTTGTTAGTAATTAATGAACAGTAGGTTTTATATAGTCTGTGGATCTGTGAATTTAATATTACTGAACACATTTTTAACTATAAGAGAGACAAACGAGAAGGTATTTATTGCCTTCTTTTCTGTCCCTTGGATGGAAGTAAATTACACTGAAACTTTAAAATTACTGCATTGAGGTTCTGTGTAATTCTATGAGAAATTAAAAATTCTCTTACAAAAATCACATAATGCAAAAAATTCAATACTCATCAGAAAATAATGACAGTTACTTACCATCTCCTTCTCCAAGAGAGGGTCTATATTAATTGTAGCAACAGCTAACTGTTTGCTCTGACCTTCCACGGTGTTGCACATACTAATCATGGGAGGACATACTAGCAATAGATTTTTTATTTCTTTAGGGTTTGAAACAAATGTTAATTTACATTTAATGTCTTGAAGCTGAATGCCCTTGTGTGGCTCTTTAATTGCAATCTCTGGATGAGGGTTACTGATTTTCTCTGCCTTTGGATGATGAAATCTACATGAAAGAAAATATAATACCTCATTACACACGATATTTACTGAACATCTGGTAAGGGAACATATTCTGCTACCAGACTAATAAATCATTCATAACACTGATATTATGAGTATTTGCAAAAGAGAAGACAGTTTCATCTATATAAATAAAAACGTATATGTTGGTTTGTCTCTTGTCGAAAATCTCCGAAAGTTCTTCACCGATTGCTTCAAAATTTTGCAAGAACGTTGCATTCGAATACGTGCGTTTTTATATACCTATTATTTAGATGTCACGCCTGTGACAGGTAAAAACAGGTAAAAACATGCCACATCTTCAGAATCCAGGAGTCGTTTCCATAGTAATGCTAGAACACACCGTTGCATAGGTTCCGCTGCGTAACAACGGATGTAACCGGAAAGTATACTTCCATGGAAATGCAATAACAGTGGGCCATTGCATAGGAATTGAGGTTCTGTGGTGTAATGACGGATAAAACGAAACACTTCTACAAGGTGTTCTGTGCTAGCATTTCCTAAGCAACAGATGAAACTAACTCTTTGATTAGGTGTATATAGATATATATACTTAACCCATTCTGTATTACGAATACGATATTTCACTTATAAATACTGACCAAATTACTCTGAAATGTTGGTAAAAAAACGATTTTTTTGTTCCATCTCTTGCTACACATTTGAATAATTTCACCACAAAAATTGTAAATATTGAGAGACCAGAAATAAATACAAACAGAAAAAGTAAAGCTATCCCTGTAACAGGCCATGAAGGCCCATAGAGTTGTGAGACATTGAGGCTCCCCCATTTTCTTTAGCCAGCTGGCTCACAGATGGTGGTAAGTTTGTCAGCCTTATGCGCTGGTTGCCCTTTACCCCCCAGGAAGATTCCTGGCACTCATTTCTATTAGAGGCTGAGTTGACCCCTGGGCCATAGTGTGGCTGGAAGGATTAGGTGAACCAAAAAAAAAAATCCACCTCATCGGGACTTGAACCCACAACCTTCTGGCTTGTAGCATAGTGCCTCAACATAAATCCAAATAATCAATAAAATATACATATTTGGCCATTAGCCTTTATTTTCAATGGGTGCACTTATTCCAGCAGGCCAAATGTTGCACATTTCAATTCACTCTCATGTTATATATGTACAATAAAGGTGCATACATATCAGGTATTAAAGTTTTTAATCATCTTCCTCAAACAATAAAAAAGTTGGCTACTGATGAGAGAAGTTTTAAATCTGCACTGAAGAGGTTTTTATATGATAATTCTTTTTATTCCATGAATGAATATTATCAATATAATTTGTCATAAGTGTGTAAATTTGTAATGCATTTAATTCAGTTAATTTAGGTAATTTAAATTAAATTGTATTAATTTTAAGTTTTATAGCAATATTCTTTTTAAATTATGTTTATTAATTAAATTGTATTAAATTTGTTTTATTATTTAAGTTAATTGACTACTTATGCTATTTTAATTATGTAACTCATGTAATTTATTATATATATCTGGACACATCTATTATCAAAGGGACTATTTCCACATCCCAAGTTTTTTGCCTGTATGGGTATATGGAAAATAAAGGAAATGAATGAATGAATGAATGTATATATGGTTGCTGGGCTTATAGTACTGAGAAATACAAAATTTCCTCTTCCACCAAGATTAAAATTTTGCAACAAAACTTATACTACCGGGAGAATTAATATCCCCCATCCCCAGCTGACAAAGTTTAGAAGCATGTTGTATTTGAAAAACATGAGTGGAGAGATAAACATTCAAGCAGAGAGTATATATATTTTCCAAATGTGTTGAGAGCTGTTCTGAATATGTCTCTACTCTTGATGTATATTTATTGCAGGTATAAACCTACTGTTGTAAGCTAATAGCACTACAGCTACTGCACTGCTTAAAAGCCAGAGCTTATTATTCCATGTATTTTGTTAAATATATAGCCAAAACAATTTCAAAATAAAAGCTGTAGATCATAATGAGACATTTTATGCCATGTACTACTTTTTTTGTACAATGAACCATTTTTTCAGAAATTTAGTTCAAACTTTATGTAAAAATAGGTGTTGTAATAAAACAGTAAAGGTAAAGTTGTCCCTTTGCTTAAATAATTAAGCACTATGCCATAAAGGCATATGGGGGAGTGGATGTATAGATCCACATTTTCTTGACCTCAGCATTAGGTGGTGAGTGGTCAGATTCATGCCCTGGCCGCTTTACCCTCAGGGAAAGAGCCCCCGGTATCCATTGGGTACGAGGTTGGGTGGACCTCAGAGCCGGTCTGGATGATGTGGAGGAGAGAAAATTCTTGACCCAACCAGGACTAAAACTCCGACCCCTTGGCCATCCAGCCAGTAGCCAGTCACTATACCTACTAAGCTATCCTGGCTCTGTAATTGACCAGTGGGTATTATAATGAATTTCAACCAGCAACTTCTACAAAGTTTCATCATATGTCTCATAGCTGCAGAGATGAAACATGCTTGCAGACAGATGTATCTCCATTTTACATGTTGATTTTACACACTTTGTGAAAAGAACGCACAAAACAAAGTAAAGATTATATGGCTGTAGGGAAAAGTGTGCTCTTTTGCAGCCGTCTGTTTTACTATCAAAAGTTAAACATATTTTGAACACCCTTCTTATTGAATTACAACTTAATTTCTGCCTGTAGAATGTTACTATACTCGTACACTTAAATTACACATTTAATAAAAAATAAACTAAAATGCAACAATTCATTCAGAATGATGGTACCTTAATTTCAAAAGATTCTTTTGTCAAGTTATGCTTAAATTGAAGTAATGCTTACTTGGTGAACTCATCATTAAAATATTACTTTTAAGATGCTTATAGACTTTGTGAGAAACATTTCAAAATGTGTGCATAGCAAAGAATATACTGCAATTTCCACTTGTCAACTACAGTTCTTATCATTATGGATGAAAGTCATGTGTGTTAAATGAACTACATACCTGAAGTAACATCTCTTTTGTGTTATAAGTCGTTGGAAGGCAACACTCTGCACTGTGATTTCCAAATTGAATATATGGTAAGGATCATAAATTCCTTCTGGTTCTTTAGTTCTACTATCATGCAGTATATATTCTGAATTATAATTTTTGCTAATTGTCCATGAACAAGGTAATATAAATTGACTAGCAGATGCAGATATTTTATTCTGTGCTGAAGTTTGTTTACTCTCATTCAAACTTTGTGACATGTTCCCCACTTCTGATACATCTCCTGAAGCTAGCTTATGGTCAATGTTCTTATTTGTGCCTTGTTTTACAATGTCACATACTTCCACATTAGCACCATGCTGTGTCTCTGTATCCACTGTTAGTTCAGTATTATTACCACCACTGTCTTCCATATCAACAGATGGCACACTGTATATTCGCTCTGTTGGTGTATCAAGAACTGTGTAGCTAGAACTGCGAATTAATCTTGCTGGTTCATTCTGAAGATCCTCAAATTGACCTTCACCCTGGCCAATATCCTTCTGCTCCTTTCCTTGATACCTAAGCATAATTCTGATATTTATACAGGGTTGCATACCACTTGGCGATGTTGGCACTTCACCAGTTTTAGATCCTTTAAGGAAACATGGACTCTCAATCATAAGAGAATTGTCCTTATCAAGACTGCAAAAAACAGTTGTGTTTGTTTTTGGTACTAGACCTTGCATGGACATCTCTGTGAATCCAATATCATCTTGTCCAATCATTAGTTTTATTATCAATTTTGATGAAGTTGAAAAGCACTTCTGCAAGTTCTCCATCGATGAACATAATGATACTACCATTTTTTCATTTAAAGGAACAGGTTTGTACATGTCACTCATAGGTATCTTTGCTGTGTTAATAGAATACTCCATAATGCTATAATGAAAATATAATTGCTCATTTTCTGTAGCGGTTTCAACATTGTAGTTTTCTGGGAGGAGCTAGAACAAAGAATGAACATGTGATATACGTTACTGGTAGGTGCTCAGTTCAAGTACCGGCCAGATACTTACAATCGTGACTGAGGTTTTTCATGGTTTTTCCTAATTTCTCCAGGAAAATGCTGGATAGCACCTTGATAAGGCCAAAATTGCTTCTCTCCAAACCCTTTCCAATTCATTATTCACTGGTCATCTTACCGTTCAACACTATACAGTCTCGAACACTGACAGCATCATAAAATAAACCACAAAAATTTTGAATTGTTTCATTTTGGTCCGTTACACTATTATACATAAAATCAATACAAAGTCCGTCGAGTGTAACAATGTTTTTTAGGTCACGGACTTTGTATTGATTTTATAAACCACAAAAATATTTATGTCCCAGTGTTCATACATCATTCAAAAATTTCTACCTATCTTCCACGAGAGGATAAATTTCAAATTAATTCTGTATCTTAGAAGATATAATAGTGGTCTTTTTATTAGTTATAACTACAGAACAATTTTCAAAGGATAATGTAAATTATCCTAACCAACACATCATACACAATAAAACAAACACATACCAAAGTATACAAAATGTTTAAAGTTGGACATGCAAAATTATCTGACAAAGAAAGAGCTTTAAACGAGGTTTACATTTGCATAACCATATTAGCTTAAAATTTTCTTATAAAAGATTGTGAAATCTATGTGTTTAAAAAATCAAGTTCAGCATAATACTTTTCACAATAATCCTCTCCTCTTATGATATAATGAAGCTTTTATTTTGATTGTAAGGGGAAATGATGATGACTTGCAAGACTTCCTTCTATTTTTTTCATTTACAGTCACTTCTCCAGGTTTGATCACCTGAATCTGTTCTGAAGATGGAAGCAGTACATTCTTAGAAAATGTTGGGAATTACATGCCAGACAAAATTATGTAACTCAGAAGACAACCTTCAAGTATAATCTTAGTGCATAGTATATAAGAAAGTGCTATCAGAAAGTTCCCAAACTGTTACTGTTGTAACTGCGTCAGTGAAAGAAGATGAGAGGGGAGGCCAAGGTCACACTTCTGCAAGCCTATTGCATCAGTCTGCCATGTAACACCGCGCTGTGAACACACATTGTTTTTACATGCGTGATTTTTCAAATTCGTGTTTAGTTTTGTCTGTGATGGATGGCAAAATTGAGCAACGTGTCAAGTTTTGCATGAAGCTTGGAAAATCTGCTACCGGAACACTTGAAATGCTTCATGAGACTTTTGGAGAACATTCTTTAAGCTGGACAGCGGTTTTTGAATGGCATTCACATTTCAAGGCCGGTTTGACTGTCAGTTGAAGATGATGAACATTCAGAGTAAACAAGTGCCAGTAAAAGACAGAAAATGTTGAAAAAATTCGAGAACTCCTCCACAAAGACCACTGCCAAACAAGCCATGAGCTTGCAGACACCATAAGGATCAGTTATGGAGTTTTCCAAGAGATCTTAAAAGAAAATTTGAACATGCACTGCAATGCCACAGAGTTTGTTCCCAAACTCTTGAAAATGATCAAAAGCAGCAGCATATAAATGTGTGTCTTGAGCTACAAGAGAAGGTTAATGAGGATCCAACTTTTATCTCTAGGATTGTAATGGGTGACGAAAGATGGATTTACAGTTATGATTGAGAAACAAAGCAACAATCATTGCAATGGAAGAGTCCAAAATCACCAGGAACGAAAAAGGCTCAGCACGTCCGGAGTTCAACAAAAAGCATGCTCATTGTTTTTTTGATGTGAAGGGGATTGTTCACCATGAATTTGTTCCTCCTAACACTACGGCCAACTCTGACTTTTACTGTGACGTTTTGAGACACTTGTGAGAAAATGTGCGACGAAAAATTCTCGAACTTTGGCACAACCACAACTGTCTCCATCATGAAAATGCGTGCGCACACACGTCCCTGAAAATCACAGAATTTGTGACTAACAACAACGTTATCATTCCCTACCCTCCCTACTCGCTGGACTTAGCCCCCTATGATTTTGCTTTGTTTCCCAAATTGAAAATGTCACTGAAGGTATGACGCTTCGACACAGTGTCCAACATCCAAAGGAAATATCAAGCGGTACTCGACAGCATTAAGGAAAATGACTTCCACAGCGCTTTTGAAGTGTGGGAAAAGTGTTTGGATCACTGTATACATTCCAAGGGGACTATTTTGAAGGAGATGGCAGCCAAAATTGAGTAAGTTAAGCCAGCATTTCTTTTTTGACCTAGTTTGGGAACTTTCCAATAGCACCTCAAAGTATTGTTAGAGTTGTACTACATATAACTCACCAAGTCCAAATTCACTGCCTGTCCCACATAGACAATGAGAAGGAAATTATCAGTGGCTGTTTCATCTGACCCAATCTGGATAATACCTTTGTCTGAATGCCACTGAGTACTAGGGTTCTGATAGGAAGGCTGGGTTTTTGGTTGCTTCTGTCGACTGCTCTTGGTCCTTATATCCTTGACAGGCAGTGAAACATAAGTTACTAAGAACGATATTAGTAATGCAGATGAACAAAAGCATCAACATCCTCTAAAATGATTCTAATGACTGATAAATTAGTCATATTTTAGTTTTACTTTTAATGCAATATAAATATACATTATTTTGGATTACAGGTTCTCACAGTGTTGACTACAAAGAGTACTATTTTCTTGGATGTGATACTGTGTAATCTGATATAAGTTCACTGATGTTTCAGAGGAACATCAGTGAACTTCTGACAACACAACATCACATCCTGGAAGAAGGCACTCTTCAAACTTATATTAGGTCAGGCAAGAAAAGTTATCACATGTGAAATATCTTTTGGCTCTGATTGGAATCTGTTTTCCTGTGTATTCATGCTATCCATCTTAACTTACAATCAGCTCTGTTTCCAAGGTAACATGTTCGAGGTTAATCATATAGGAGAAAGTAAGTGCAATATCTTTGTATTGACTTTTTTCTGAAGGTTTCAGTTATGGTTTTCAGGCATATGCCAGTTTGGCAAGGTGTCTAGTAATCCTGTTCTCAGGCAGGAACACCCAGATGACAAATATGTTTGATTCTTCAGGTATTTAATGATACCTTTTTTTTCATTGTATTAGTTATGTAGCATTAAATGGTACTATGACTGCAAAAATGATTGATGATGCAGAAGTGGTCATGATCTATTTTAAGGTAATAGCTCAGCACTTTTCTGGAAGGAGTGAAGAAAACCATGAGAGGTTAACATAGCCTGTACTGAGACTGAAACCTTGGGCCTCAAAATATCACTCTTGAGAAAGTTATGGTGAAACTAATGACTCACACAAATTGGCCATCTAATAAAGGGTTCTAAATTGTGGCAGTGGTCTGATGAAGCTCAAAGTCACCAACATTTTTCTGCATGAAAGGTGGAGAAGGTATGCAAAAAGGCGTATACTAGATCCAGACAGTTTCAGACAGAAACCCAACCTGACCACCACAATGACACAATGTACACTGATTGCTTGATGGCTTTGTGATACATTAAAAACAGAATTTATATAGATTATTGATACCTCTTCTAACATTTTTGGTGTTCCTTCAACCCTAAGGCTACAAAGAAGTTCTGGACAAGGTGGTTTTGCTCCATGTAATTTGTGCCACTCTGACCAAGATTCACCAACATCCTGAACAACACATATTTTTATACTTATTAATATGCACCTTATATTATGTTTTAAATTGATTCAGTGTTTCTTGACCTGCTAATTTACATGAACTAAAATATTCTTTTATGCTCCTCAGTGCTCCCATGAATAGAGCATGACTTCTCCATTTATGGCACACAATAATTATAGGTAATTCATAATTTATCACTGTTTCTACCATCACATGTAATTTTATATCAGTAATTTGGGGTATAAAACAAAAAAAGGATGATTTTGTACCCAGAGTTTACTTTAATCTTTACTTAACCTATACCGGTCACTGGTATGTAATAAGGAGCCGGGAACCTTTGTAAGAATTTGTAATGGCTGGCTCTTTCATACAAAGCAAACAATAAATATCAAAATGAATTATCTGTCCACAAGAGTGCTGTAGTGCAGTTTCTCATTTTCTGCTATTCTTCCTTAGTTACACAATACTAGAACTCAAATTGTAAATGAATATCTAGCAACCATGGTATAGGATCCTCCTTTGTCAGTTGAAAATCAACATGTAGCAACCATGATATAGGATCTTCTTTCATTAGTTGGTTGGAAAAATCCCCAATTAAAAACTCAAAGGTTAACAGAAGACCACCACTGAATCCTGTTCGGTGCTATTTCACTCAGATAACACCTTCACAACTCATTTTTCTAAGATACACTGACTTGTTCTATATCTGGAGGCTGTATTGCCAAATATGGATTTATGGAACAAATAAAAATAGTAATATGAATATTGTTCTTCCATCTATGCCTAGGGATTCCTAGTGGTCTCTTTCTTGGATATTTCCCTACTGTAATTTAGTATGCATTTCTTGTTGTATTTCCTGCATTAGATGTTAAATTTGTTGCCAGCGGATATATAGGGGCTCATGGCAAGAACCAAGAAAAAAAAAAACTCCTTTCATTCAAATTAATTCTTTCTAGCAGGCCATCAAACATGTCTAGAATTTAATTGTGGAGTAATGTTTAAAATCTTAGATGAGTTAAAAGTAAATGTTAATACTGATATGTGCATATAAACTTTGCACTTTATATGAATGTTGTTTCTGCTTAATACACAGCCTTTCCCAGAAGAGAACTTTTCACATCAATGTGGGTTGGAGAGGGAGGTTTGAACCCATAACCCTCATTTCCCAAACTGTGGTATTAATGTGCAAGTTACTATATACATGTTAGGTTAGTAAAACAGTATCCCATCATATAATTACAGCATAAGATTTCCCAGATGGAACGAAATGTGCCTGTCGTAAAGACATGACAAAATTTCCAATGTGATTCCTTCCTCTGTGAATGTGATTTACTGCGAAGCACTGAACTTTGATTGCAGCCCTTCCAGATCGCAATCTGTAAATATAATTCCAATGTATGTTAATGTATATATTTGAGATCTCCACTAATATTAATATTCTACTTTAATGCTCATTATGACAAGAAGGTAAAGGCTATAAATGGAAGAATCTTCATATAACAGCTATTGTGTTTTTTTGCAGACAAAGTGGTAAGAAACAAGCATTACATATAACGACAGTACAGTTCGAATGTTTATACTGTTAGAACAGAGAGCTGAAGACAATGTGACATCATTCACTTTTCATGGGCTGCAAAGAATTTGCAGGTCACTACAAAAGATGTATAGCAAGCAATGCAGAACTGGTACAAGATCAAGGCTTGTATAAAGAATGTATGTTTCATTTTTCCTGTTACATGCATTTTTCTTTTTTTTTTAATTTCATCCTTTTAGAAGACTCTTCACTGATACAGTCCATTCTTCATGGTGTGGCATCATGTGATCTGCTGTGGGCCATTGCTGTGGCAAAGGTTACTTCATTCCCAGTTAGACATATTATCAACTTATTTTCACACAGCACATTTCAATCTGAATTACTGCTTCCAAATATGTCAAAGTCAAAGTCACATTGCGACTGACAGCCACTCAGTCAGTAAGTCTTGGTGTCAAGCACCCTCCTGGGGCTCATGACCAGATATTTATTACTGTTTGGCAGTTACAGTCTTGTTTCTGTGGGCGCCCTCTCTGACGAGAGGACGGGTCTGTCTTTAGTATATGCTCCTGGTCCTTGCCAGCGCAGTATTTCTCGGGTCTGAGTCCCTTGGCACTCGAGACCATATATTACTGTCTCAACTCTGAGACTTCCCTTTTCATCACCTCCTACGACTTGCAGGGTCACGGTGGAGGTATTCGACCCCTGCCTCCACACGGGTTTTCCAAATATGATCAAATTACAACAGTAATATTCAGCATTATCTTACCTGTGGAAAACACATGTTATGACGAATTAAACTAACTTTAATATTACATACCTGCTGAATAATTTACCTTTTCAGCATTTTCTTATCCAATTCCCACATTAATTCAGAATCAAAGATCGGCTTCTCAGTTATTTGAACCACATCTGTATCCAAAATTGCCCCATTTAAGGTGGCTTCAATAAAAATTCCTTCACTTGGTGTCACATTTAAATGACCAAAGTTACGTCCTGAAAGAAAAAGAGGATCAAAGGGTGACAGAGTGATCAATTTATATACCCATCTATGGAACCTGATATCACACAACAAACGTGAAATGAGTGCACTGTGCAAAACGAAGAAAACTTAAACGTTTTGTTTGAAACGTAGTGTGTTTCTCTTCAACAATTATAACAGCCAGTACAAATGATTGTCAAATTCTGTGTGAGCAGATCTTTCATGAAAGTGGCTTGCCTTGTTTAAGACTGAGAATAACACAGATATCCTGTCCATTAATCTCTTCCATTGCTACAACAATGCGTCTGAAATTACCAGTCTAAAATGTGAAGACAGTATCATTCGCATTTAAACACTGTAAATATAAAAAACTAAAAACTATTCTCGACGTTGTCTCTCTTGTTTCCATGGTTACAATACTACATTGGGAGTCAACTTAAATGTCAATAATACGATTTGAATTTTACTTTCAAGTAATAATTTATATTATTGGCAATAAGTTTACAGAGTTTAAGCTGGAATTTAATATTTTAAAGTTTAAGCCTAGTATAATTGTGTAAAATCATACATCGGCAGGGTATTAATCGGGTTAGTAACGGAAGTAAGTTATACGCAGGCGCTGACTTTTAGCAAAGTTGTGGTTAGTTCTTGAGAAACGGTAGTATAGGAGGAATGTAGTGTTCTTTTATTTCATGATTGTATAATATTATATTATAAACGTTTGTATATTTTTTAGTCTAGACTGTATACATTGGTGTGATATTTAAAACGTACTAATCTTCGTCAAATTATCGGTGTCAAGTTGATTCACAGATTCTGGAATGTAGTCTTGTATCATTCCGCGACCTGATGGCGAGAGGAAAATGGTTAGAATGGGATGTGTTTGTGCATTGTCTTGGAGGTGAATGCCTGGATTCCTTTGGAAATACTCAGCGATGTGCGAAAAGTTAGGCTGTTTGTGTACCGTATTTATATGTGTAAAGGATGGATATTTGTTAAGGATGAATAAGTGGGAAAACCAAACAAGTGCACCGAAAAATTGCATGGCTGCTAGTATTGTCTGTAGGCCCGGGGCCTACCTGTGACAAGAGCAGCCATTTGCAGTGGTAATCCATTTAGTTTGGTTTGAGTGGTTTACACAGTATGCAGAAACGCGAAGGAAGAGATCGAGAAAGGGATAAAGATACACGAGACGAATCTTCAAAAAGGGTTTCACGTTCAAGTGCTGGAGCAAGAACTAACATGCATACAAGTCGGCACAGCGTATCCAGTAGTTCGGGGGTGTTGATGGTTGGCCCCAACTTCAGGGTTGGAAAGAAGATAGGATGTGGAAATTTTGGCGAATTGAGACTAGGTAAGAAGAAGCACACGTTTAGTTTTAATGAAGGAGTGCCTGGTTCTGAATCGGGCTTGACATCTGTACCCTCACCGCGTACGCCATGTGATTGGTGTAGACGACGCAAACTAATGTTCAGCCTAGAGAGATTGGCAGGAAATTACTTTCAGTTGTATTGTAGATATTATAAATTAAAACTATTCGTAGTGATAGAGTGAATGAAATATATTCATGTCTGTGTTGCAAATGCCTGAGTTTCATGTTGCATATCAGTTGCCTCTTCAGAAAACCATTAAACTCATTTCAGAAATATACATATGCTGTCCACAGTTCCCCAGAATTTCGATTAGTCGACAATGAAACCTTGGAAAAAAGAACCCTTTTTTGTACCTTAGATAGTCACTGGCTTCAAACCGCGGTGGCCCGGGTTCGATCCCGGGTCTGGTCAGATGGGATTTGTGGTGGACAAAGTGGCGCTAGGGCAGGTTTTCTCCGAGTACTTCGGTTTCCCCTGCCAGTCTTCATTCCACCAATTTCTCCACAATCACCCTCACCTATCATCTGGGGCTGGTGCAATAGGCCAGAAGTGGCCACAGTACAAGGGACTTAGTCCCACCTCCCGATCAATAAAAAAAAAATAAAAAATAATAGATAGTTGATCTAACCTATGATATAATGTTAGTGGTTATATGTATCGACTGCTATAGCAGATAAATAAGAAGGTATCATTGTGTTTAATTAAGAAAAGTGCTACAAAGATAGGCCAGAGAATGGAAGTATGTCACTTTAGATTCTCGCTTTTGGTAGTGAAATAGTTCCTGGTACATGCTGGTTGAGAGGTTGTGAGATGAGAAAAATCTACTATGCTGGAATTGTATTGCAGTTCCTTGGTTGTCTGGTAGCTTATAGTTTAATTAAGCAGTTCATGTTGGTAATGGAGAGAATTTGTTTTCTATTAGGAACAAAATTTGTTAGTGTTAATGGAATTTCAGACTCAGAGTGTTAATGAATTTGTATTATTTGCCTGTAATTTAGTAATAGAATTTTTAGTGTTCCTTGATTTTTATTTTCCTCTGATGCAATTGACAATGGGTATTACTTGGCTATAGAGTAGGAAGTATTGTGAAGCAGCTTTCTGGTCAGGCGTTTCATACCAGAGAGGCAGGGTGAATATCGAAATTGGTTGTGTTGGAAGAACTGCAACTGTGTCTGCATGAAAATGTTATCAGTACTGTGATTGCTATGGCATATTTGAAATAAGATTGTGTTAGAACAAACTGAGAAGTCATGGTGGAGAGCCGGTTGTATTTTAATTTAATATTATTTGTTCATGCATGTTCTTTATTATTGTAGTGTGAAAAGGAACCATTGTTGTTAGGGAGAGTTGGGTTTGTGGAATGTTGCAAGAGTGTTATGTTCGCAAGTTTAAGTGCCATTTATAAGAGCAGAATTTGCAGGATTGCAGGTAGTTAGTAACTTAGAGAGAGAGAGAGAGAGAACCAAATAGCATTATGTAGATTATATCCAGGTAAATAACAATGCTACAAGCCGGAAGGTCGCAGGTTCAAGTCCCGATGAGGTCATCGTATTTTTCCCAGTTGACCTAATCCTTCCAGCTGCACTAGACCCTGAGGTTTACTCAGCCTCTAACAGAAATGAGTATGTACCAGGAATTAATGAACTATTTTTCCTGGGGAGTAAAGTGTGCCTGGCACGTAAGGCTGACAACCTTACTGCCATCTCTGAGCCAATTGTCTAGATAATGTGGGACCCTCAATGTCTCACAACCCTATGGGCCTTCGCGGCCTGGCACAGGGATAGCTTTACTTTTTACTTTTACAGACTACACTTCCTTATGGAAGTTAGTGATATGATTGAGAAAAGATTTAGGTCAGTCTTCATGTTTTAGGTTGTGAAGATTTTTTTTTTGTACTTAATGTTGTAGAGTGTGAGATCTGTAGAGACAGGTAGTTTTTGGGAATAGCTATGGTAAGTGCTCACCTTTCTCTTGTGGGAATAATTTCCATCATGCTTTACAATTACATCAGGATGCTAGGGTTGCCTGTGTATATTATGTAATGTGGTGCAATATGTGTATCTTAATGCAATATTAATACCAATTGTACCAATTGTTTGTTTCATTTATGAAAGAAAAGCCCATGTCATTCATTTATGGAAGAAAAATGTGTACTCTAATCTGAGATATCTTCCCTAGAGTTCAATATACGTCATTTTATTGAAATTTCTCCATGATTTTATCAGGTGGATCTCCATGTCTAAAGCAGAAACTTTATCTCATAGGTGATATGTACAGTTCTCTGTGCTTTCATACAATTTGGTATCATCCAAACCATTTAGAAGAGGAATTGTTCTTGAGTAAAAATTTGAGATGGCTGCCTTTGAAATATGTCATCGATATTAATTCCATTCTTGGGTTGTTATATTTTGTGCTGGTGGGCATTGTTGCCAACGTTTTGGAGATACATGCTGCCTCCATCTTCAGAGCCAAAGGTGTATGTGGTGGAAGGTTCCTCCAAAACATCTGCCCACAACTCAAGCATGGAATTAACAGCAGTAATTAACCACTATGAATGCCTGAATTCGGTAATGCCTTGTAATTTTATTCAGGATTGATGTATTTGAAGTTGAAAATCATATTCAGGATTCAGAAACACTTCTAGAGGAGAAAGACAGGTTTTTCCTTTAAGATCCTACTTTCTGCGACATTTGAGTTTAAGTAACGTAGTAAGTTTGGAGCAGACATTCCAAGATTTTATTTATTATTATTTTTTTATGCTATTCTCTTTGCTCATGTAGTGTAGGGCAGTGTGTCATGAGGTGTCTACTGTTCCAGGATCATGATATTTAATAATTTACCACAAAATCTAAAGAACATGGCAAATGATGTTAATAAGTTTAAACATGCCTTAAAAAATTTCTCCGTATTGGCTCCTTTTACTCATTGTGGAAATATCAAGATTGGAGAATAATGGAAAACCTTGCTTCTTATAAATAATTTATAATCTGATTGCTGATCTGATACGTGTTTTTTGCATGGTTGATGTAATCTTTTCTCTTGATTTTTATGCATCTTCTCGTTTTGATAAGCATGATTTATATGTATTGTTTACCTGTAGAATTGCCTGTATATGTTTTTACTGATGGTATTATGATATGATGAGTCCTGTATCAATGTATTTTGATTTATGGGAAAATAGAAGAAAGAAAGAAAAAGAAAACAGTGACCATTTTCATGAATAATACAGGACATTAAAAGTAACCAGATCGAAGGTATTATCAAGCTGCGATTTGCCATTTTCACTGTGATGACTGAAGAATACTGTCGTCTGAGATGTGACGCCATATAGTCTGGTGGAAGTTCACTAATATAAATAAATAAATAAATATTTCAGAAGAACTTACTGCCTCCGTCTTCATTGTAGAAGAGTTTTACTCAAGTCTTTAATTTCCCTTTTGCATAAATTTCCAAGATAAAGAATTCTTAATCATTTTTTATGCCTAGAATGGTTGAAGCTTACTGTCCTGCAGAAAAATAACTAGAACTGATGTGTCTGTCACAACCAGTACTTGAATGCCAGCACTACAAAATTTACTTCATAAGCACTGTTATAAGAAGTGCATTATGAAGAGAGGCTGTGTATATATGTTGCCATGTGAACCCAGTTTCATGTGAAAAGAAAACATTTTTTCTTGGAGACATTACAACTGCTTTGATGTTAATTATGACCAACAATATCTGAATTTTTGCTAATACAAGGTACTGCTCGTTATCACTCCTGCTGTTTCTGTCATATAACATTATTTGCTGAATAAAGACGGTGGTTTTGGTTAACTGAAGCTGAATTATGATTTTCGGTTTCTATAATGTGCGAAAATTGCACACAAGTTATGTTACATTAATTTTTGAATAATATACTGCACTTACACCTGCAGTAATTGTTATACAAGATTGATTAACCATTGACCATGCTACATGGAAAAAGTAGGCCATTTGAATGGGAGGTGTTTAAGTTACATTCTTTCCGTTTTATAGTGTTCTAAAGGTACTTATTTGCTGCTTTATATTCCATAAGGAACGTGAAGAGTATTGGCCACTGGTCAAATGTGCATTCCAGTGTTCCACTATGTGTAGATGGTTGTGGCATTGTTTTTATAGGCCAAGCATTTGCAGGGTGCATTGAAGGTGGTTTGTTGTTAGCTGCTTTTATTTTTGGAAACAGAATTTCATGTTTGTGTGGTGATGAGGTAGATTTCTATAATGGTAACACTCTTAGAGTTATATTTGAGAGACACTCAGTTTTAGTCTGGGCATGGACACTGGTATCCTGACCAAGGTTTTTGTGGTTTTCACATTCCCTTCAGGCACATGCTAGGATAGTACCAGTTCCTTCCAAGTCCTTTCAAATTCACCATTCAGCCATCCTACCAAGTAGGTACTGCCATTGTCATAAAAGGAACTACAAAAAGAATAGCCATGTAGGATTTAGGGTTCTCCCAGCAGTGGTCAGTCGTTAGTGTTCTGATATGAACATATACAAATGATATTCCCATCTACTGTCCTAGCTTTACGGTTGATTCGGGTGGGCATATGTTTCCAGTAATAAGGTCATATAAGGGGTTTTTGGGGAAGATGTATTGATGTTAATTTCGTTACCAGTCACTCAACCAGTGCTTATGTCAGCGTCCCATGAGGTGTGTGATGGCTTGATCATATGTGTTATTATCAGAACTTTGATTTTCATTTGGGGCTTGAACTCTGACCTGGCACAGATCTTGGTACTTATTTTTCTATCCTTGGTTGGGGTAATCAGATATAATCCAGCATTTGGCCAGAATTTTAGTAAGGGAGTTTAGTTTCAGTTCTAATACAGCCTTCTCCAGTTACAAGTCTTACGTTTGTTAAATATCCTACTTCCTGATATGTAATTTGGGGTTAATAGTAGATACATAAGTTAAGTGTTACATTGCCTTTTGTTATCCATTACATGGACAGAAAT